TATATATATATTATATATATATATATATATATATATATATATATATATTGACTGCCTTCTTCGTCCTGACTCTCTGCAAACAACGAAATATCACAATAATAACCAAACTTTCTGAATGTTACGGGCGCCGTACCGTAACAGTACCGTAAATCGTCACTAGGAGGCGAGGAACCGTGCTAGCATGATGTGTAAATGCTCGGCAAGGTTAACTGATCCAAGCTCGGTCTGAACTCGGCACAGATCGGTTTTAGAGCGGTAGTGTAAGTAGGGCTTTAAATGCTACAAAGAGCTAAAACAACAGCTTAGCTCCATGAGATTGAGCCTGCAGTCTGCAGAGGTCTCCCTCCATAAAAATACTATCTACTTTCTAGAAGCATCTTACATCATTTGTTCTTCTGAGTTTCTTATCATTGATACTGAATACAGCTAATCTTCTTCTTGCAGTGACATTGTCCAGGGCCAAGAGTTGTTAGAGCTAATGAGTCCATTCACTGATTGGAACAAAAGTAAAGATCAGATTTTTTTGCTACTGATCTGCCGATGCTGGCCGGTTCAGCAGATTTCTCAGTAAACATCAACCTTATTTTCCTTTTTAATCCTCTCCTTCTCCCCCGTTTCAAATCAATCAATGTTGATTGCACAGATGTAAAAAAAATAGATCCCTCTGAAATACTGGCTGTTGAATTTTTCATCATTTTGGACTGTCTTTGATTTTTCTGCCTCCCAACACTTCAATACGATACTCTTTTGGAGATAAATACATGTGCAAACTCCCTCTAAACCTTTTTGTAGCTTTTCTTCTAAAGTGGATTTACAGATTCAGTGTTTTACTTTTTTTAATACCACAACTTTCCACGAAAGACAAATGAACAGTTTTGTTTTGCCACATTTTAGTGCCAGTTTAAAATACCACTGCATCTGTGGTCATTACAACCATCTCACCTTGGTTAAGCTACAACCACTGTGTACTGCTGCAGCTCCACCTCTGTGCTATGCTCCCCTCTCCCTTTTTGTAGTGTGAAACCAGCCACCCAGCGTGGGGCCATCACAGCCACAGAGCCCAGTCCCTGTTGACTAGAGGGGGACCTCTGGTGATGCATTATACACCAGAGCAACAGCCGCTCACTGCACATCCTACTAAACATACACTCTACAAACATCAGCTGGAGGACTTTTAGGTTCTGATGGGTCCTTGTTTGGACCTCTGCCCACTGGGTGACCTGTGACTATCTGCAATCCTGCCTGGAGCCTCTTCCTCTGTATATTCCCAGCCATTATAGTCCTACTCAGACACAAGGCAGCTTCTAAAAGATGCATGGGGTTAGTTATTGGCTGAGGGGGAGCCTGTTGGTTTAGTGTTGTGTTTGTGCATTCTGCCTTAGCTTCCTTTTCAAAGCAAAGGGGTAATGGGGGATTCTATTTAGCATCTCATGGGATATATCAGTTGCTTTTTTGCTTTTATATCAACGATCCTTTTATTTTGACTTTGCATATATTCCTCCATTGGTGTATAAGCAGACTTAGTTCCCATAAATGTGCCCCTGCAGCATCTAAGTCTTTAAATAAATGATGTTGATGTTGTGTCTTAACCTTTAGCTCTGTCCACACCCAAAGCCTGACTCGACACCTGCTTATGAGGTAGATTTTCCGGTTTCATCTACTTGCCATGAAGTCTGGCGACAGACGCTATCTTTTAATGACTAACACAGGGGAAGAAATAGACTGGAGGAGAGTCTGAGAGAGAGAGGGAGCAGCGTGTGGATGGAGCCATGCCGCTGTGTAAATGATGTCTGTTTTCCTTTCAGCTGCAAAGTCGGCACCCACCGCTGCGTTTAGAGAGAAGGAAAACTTTAGACAGGCACAGACTAGTTGCGCACACACACATGCATGCTAGCACATACACTTTAGGACCTTGGGTGGATTAGCAGGAACTCGACGGCGGAGACAGAGATGCGTGCGTGTTTTGCTTCCTCCCCTCAGCACCTCCACCTCCGCTCCTCAGCGCCACTCCTGCTCGCCTGCCCGGGGCCAGACTCAGGTTTCAATAAGGAGGAGGGTGGTAAAAATAACCCCAGCTTTCCTTCTGCTTCTCCCTCCTCCGCCTCATCTTCTGTCTCCTTCTTCCAACTCCTGAACCACCTTCCCTTGTATCCCCCACCACCTTCGCCTTAGATCATGTTACTATTGACAGAAAGGAGGGAGGAGGGAGGTCAGGGAGTGAGACAGATTAACCATGAAGGCTGACAGCTCTTTGGGTATCAAAGACAAAAATCTTTTACTCTGCACCATTTTGATGCAGTTAAATGCATTTTATCCTTATGGATATTTGTACGTTTCCTTATTCACTGCTAAGAACCAGTATTGCATTGTGGGTATGGAAAATGCAGCGTTTTGTGTCTGAGAAATTAAGAGTTCATGTTGAGGTCAGACTCGGTGCATTATCAGTTTATGACTCTGTATATAGCTTCATGTGAGGAGTGTTCTTATCCTTTTGGGTAAGTAATATGTGGAAAAACTTCTGGATAGTGTCTGAAGGAGGCTTCAGACTAAGATAAACCCTAAGAGTGCAACATTTTAAAATCGTAAACATTTTTTGTTGTATTTCTTCCTGCTGTGTGTTTCTTCTTCATCTAGACCTCTGGGCCCTGTAGAATTTTAAACGTTATTAAACTACATGTTTAAAATCCACTCCTGATACATTTCAGTATCAGATTAAAACCCATAGATTCAATTAATAATAGGATTTTTTTTTTCAAATGCTGGGGAAAGTCTTAAAGTTGTCTTCAGTTCTGTTTAGAGTAGAGTTAAACCAGGCAAACTCTGCGATATTTTCAATCATTGCACGCAGCTACAGCTCAGACTGTACAACAAAAGGGTTTAAAAGTTCAAAGCTCACGATGCATGTTCTCACACTGTGCGGCCCGACGCTCTTATGGAACCTTACGACAGCCAGTCGAATTTCAAACATGTTTGATTTTCTCCCATCCTAACAATTCCCGATTGGGAGGAGGTCGTGAGAGGCTAATCGCCCCTACATGATGCATGATCAGGCTGAAAGTCGGCCTAATCGAAAAATTCTTGCACGATTGGAGAATCGGCCGGAAAAGGGCAATGAATTGTACAGTATATGCCTGGCTTTAGTCAGGATGCCCGTCCCCCACATATTGCTGTGCAATGCAAGTCAGCTGGTTTAATGAAGGCTGCAGCCGTTTTCTGTCTAAAAATATGTTCAGATTCTTAATAAAGCTATTTAGAAAATCTCCAAAGCTGATTCTGTCTAATTTGGGGAATGAGATGTACCAATCCACTTTTGGAAACTATTGATTTCTCTTCCTTTTTCTAGTATGGACTTAAACAGAAAATTGATATTAGGAATCATTATGTTGTTTAAAGATTTAAGTCAAACATTAAGTTGCCCTTCTTTTCACTGTGATGGAGGCTTAGATCTCAATAGCCTGCAGGCTGCTAAGCAATAAAAGTACTTTATCCATTGTCTCTATCCATCAGCGTGCATTGAACTTTCTGATGACTCTGAAAACTCTCCTGTTTTCAGAAAACTCGCAGAGTCCCGTGGTGGAGGCAGGCGGCAGCCACGGCCACATGAGCCCCGTGGAGCATTACAGGCGCATGATGTCAGCACTCAGCGAGCAGGGGTCCTTTGAGGAGCAGCAGCAACGCCTCTACCAGCTGGCCAGCAGTATGGGTCTTCCCGGCCACGGTCAGTTTTTTTCTTCTTCTGTGGATTCTGGTTGTCATCACCTCTTCTTTTGCATCTAACACCATAGACACCTCTTTGCAAAGTTTATTTTTTTATTACCTTTTTCCAGAAACAGTGTAACTTTATGTCTTGTTTTCTTTTTTTTGGTGAAACTTGAAACTTAATACAGGCCGTGTTACAATGTCTTCTATAAAGTAAGGCTTCTGTCAGCTGTGACCAATCCACCAAGGTGCAGTGCTTCTTTTTAACCTCAGTCTTTGGCGCTGTGTTCAGGGTCCTGTGGTTCGCTTTGCTACTCTGCTGCCAGGATAAAACCCAGGCCTCAGAGATTGCTGACATTTCTATTTGTGGTGCCTGCCCACCCAGCGTCAAAGTGTCACTCTGGGTGATTTCTGACCACCCTGACTCTCTGCTGTTAACAACACTCACAAGCCCTTACATGCACCAGCACCACGACTGATTCAGGGACTCTTATTGGCTGCCAGCCGAGTCCTCTTAAATCTCCCTACAACCAGGAAACCACAGTTGTGTCATTTATTTGTGCCTACAGAAAGAAAATCTGATTGGTTTAAGCACAAGAAGGGTGGCCAATTGAAGAAAATGTAGTTTGCTTTTTTGAATTTCTTCTTCACTATCATTACATGTCAACATTTTCTTTTCCCACAAAAAAAAAAACAGAAAACCCTGCCATCACATTTCAGAAATGTATCACTGTAGCATGGATTCAGTTGCCGCTTTGACCAAATTGTTGTTGATCTACTTTAATTTTTATTTGATTAGGAATGATTTTTAATTGCTGGCTGCTGATCTAGAAGGGAAGGCCTATAAAGGCTTTAATTGCCCTTTTTCTGCGGAAAAGACGGTTTACAGGCGAAATGCGTCACATTATGAGCGTTTTAAGGGCTCGGTCTAATCGCTGGCTTCCTTTCCCAGAAGCTCCAACAGTTTTCATCCAGGCCCTTTGGTTCACTCATCCATTCACTTCTAGATTCCAGAAACGGGGATAGTGCCCTTTATCCGGCTAACATCCAGTGCAGGTTAAAAACCAATCAGTGAAATAAAAAAACATTAATAACCACAGATGTACTGACAGAAAGTAGTGCAAGATTGTGAAGAGAAAAGAAAAAGACTTGTTGTTTTACACATAAAAAAACAATGGCGTAACAAGTAATTGCACTGAGTTTTTACATTGATACCATCAAATAAAATCTGGTTAAATCAGTTAAAAAGTAATTTAAATAGTAAATGGAGCCCACCTGTGTGTGGTTTAATCTCTTCTGTAAGGATGAAGAAGAAATGAGATGTGATCAGATTTTTCTTTTTAAAACAAAATTCAGTCAGTTCCATTTAGACTTTACAGTCATGCACCATCTGTGTCTCTATAAAATCCACAGAGATTTGTGTTTTTTTAGTGTGAAAAAATGCTCAGTGACACAAAGTCTAGGCGCTCACTTCCTGGAGGAGCCCTGGGCGGCACATTGGGCAACTTCCTCCAGATAACCAGTTTATTAGTTTATTTACAAGATGCGTTATTAGACTTCCCCTTCCTTAATGAGCAGGTGGAGCTGAATAAGAAACGGACACCGGTAGACCCAGATGATGGCACAGTGGGAGATGGATGAGTTGTCTCTCAAGAGGCTGACATGAATCTCCCCAGCGAGACCTTCTTGACATTGACCTGGTCTCAAATAAGCTCCTCCATGACCCCCTTCCTCTTTACTCCCCCTGGGCCCCTCATGTCTCCTATACATCTCCCTCTCATGCTTGCTCCGGCACCCCTTCCCCTCCTCCTCTTTTTCCTTACCGCCAACTCTCCCTTTAGCCTTGGTCCCCGCAGAGCATCCTTTCATGTGTTTGAAGTGTAGGGCACAGAAAATGAAAGTGTGTGTGCACGTGAAAGAGGTGGGGGTGAAGAGGATGTGTGTGTGTGTAGGTGCAAGGTGTTGTTTGAGAAGCTCCCTTTGGACCTGATGGGCAAAGGAAGAGAAGGAGGGTAGCTGGGTTGTAGAAATGGCCAGGAGGGCTTTCCCTCCCTCTTCACATGATGAAAGAAGGATGAGGGAGAGGGAAAGTAAAATGAGAGGTGGGGGGAGAGATCCAGATGAAAGTGAGAGGAGGAGTAGGATGTTTTGTCTCCTGCAGTTTGGCCCGACTCAAAATGTGGAGAATCTCTAGCATTATCCTAAAAACAAGAATAGAAAACCCAGTCATTTGATTGGTCAAAGGACAAAGACGTTTAGTGCTACAGATTTAGCACGTATTTACAGCTGCTCGGGCTTATACCACTGGCAGAATGTCCTCCTCGTGGAAAGATTCTTAATTTTCTGGTGCATGCAGAGTTTTTGGCGGATAAATGTTAGCTTTTTGAGAACCTGCCAATCCATGAAATTCATCACCAGTCCAGCCAAGCTGTATCAGCCAGCCGTTCGCCTTCATTCTCGCGCTGGGGAAAACCAGCTTAACTAAGGGGATTAAGCTCAACTTCAGGGCTGATTGTGGTGAGAAAAATGGGATGGCACGGAAACCGGGTTTGTTTTCCAAAATAACTTACAGCTAGGAAAGAGGCCTTTGAGTGTTTGTGTTTTTAATAAGGACTTTAATATGTAATAAGAGGGACACTGGTCCTGTGCTCCAACAGCTGCACCTCTGGATGAGAGCATTAGTTGAAAAATTAAGGATCTGAACGCCTACGCTGTGGACCCAAACACACACAGACTCACACAGGGGCAGAGCCCTGGATGACCCCGCTACTCTCTGTTCACATAAAAGAGAAATAAAGGGAGAGAGGGAGGGAGCAAAATATGAACCCAGTGCTTCACTGAGGTTGAACAAGGATACACAGGATAAATATAGATGGTAATAACAGGAGAAATTAAAGGAACAGAAAGAGAGTTAACAGTTCTCACTGGTTGCTTTGATGGAAATTATCATTTTTATTTGTTTTCCTGTTGAATATAAATCCTGTGTTTTTATGCCTGTGAAGTGGAAGTTCCTGCATAAATGCGCCCTGGACAAGACCCCCCTACTGCCATCAACTAACTCGCATATACCCTGCTATGTAGCCTATTAGACACATAACGTCACCATATTGTTTTCATTATGGCGGATCAGAACAGACCTGGGCACGGAGTCTGTAAGCTGTGCAGTGCCTTAAGTGTTTCTCAAAGTTTTAAGAAACATTTTGAGAGTTTCTACAGCAAGAAAAAAAATTGTAACAAAGTCCTACAATCATCCTTCAGAGGATCAATTTTTAGCAGATATCTCTATGCTGTTGCAGTTTTGTCAAAGTGTTATTTTAGGTATTTAAAATTGCTCACATAAACCAGTTCTTCTGTGTTTTTAGATGCAGAGAATCAAATTATGATACAGAAATCTGTAGAAACCCCTTCTTGTAATACACTGTGTGCAGAATTATTTGGCAAATGAGTATTTCAACCACATCATCCTTTTCATACATGTTGTCCTACTCCAAGCTGTATAGGCTTGAAAGCCAACTACCAATTAAGTAAATCAGGTGGTGTGCATCTCTGTAATGAGAAGGGGTGTGGCCTAATGACATCAACACCCTATATAAGGTGTGCTTAATTATTAGAAAACTTCCTTTCCTTTGGCACAACAGGTCAGAAAAGAGATTTGAAAGACTCTGAAAAGTAGAAAATTGTCAGATGTCTTTCAGAAGGGTGCAGCAGTTTGGAAATTGTCAAGCTTTTTAAGCGGGATCATCGCACATTTAAGCGGTTCATAGCAAGTAGCCAACAGGAGCACAAAAAGCGTGTTGAAAAAAAAAAGACGCAAAAGAACTCCTGATGAATTGAGAAGGATCAAGCGTGAAGCTGCCAGGAAGCCATTAGTCACCAGTTGTGCCATATTTCAGAGCTGCAACATGTCTGGAGTGCAGAGAGGCACAAGGTGTTCAATACTCTGGGACCTGGCCAAGGTAAGGAAAGCTGAAAAGAGGCCACCTTTGAACAAGACAAAACGTCAAGATTGGGCCAAGAAATATCTGAAGACTGATTTCTCCCAGGTGTTTTGGTCTGATGAAATGAGAGTGAGTCTTGATGGGCCAGATGGATGGATGGGCACCAGGCTGGATCAGTAAAGGGCAGCAAGTTCCTTATCGACTCAGACGCCAGCAAGGTGGAGGTGGGGTACTGGTATGGGCTGGTATCATAAAAGATGAGCTTGTGGGACCTTTTCGGGTTGATGATGAAGTCAAGATCAACTCCCGGACCTACTGCCAGTTTCTGGAAGACACCTTCTTCAAACAGTAGTACAAGAAGAAGTCGCCATCATTCAAGAAAAACATGATATTCATGCAGGACAATGCTCCATCACACGCATCAAAATACACCACAGCATGGCTGGCCAGAAAAAGTCTAAAAGGAGAAAAAATAACGACATGGCCCCCTTGTTCGCCTGATCTGAACCCCATAGAGAACCTGTGGTCCTTCATGAAATGTGGGATCTACAGGGAGGGAAAACGGTACACCTCTGTAAACAGCATCTGGGAGGCTGTGGTGGCTGCTGCACGCAATGTGGATCACAAACAGATCAAGACACTGACAGAATCTATGGATGGAAGGCTTTTGAGCGTCATGGTGAAGAAAGGTGGCTGTATTGGTCACTGATTTTTTTTAAAAATTTGTTTGTTTTTTGAATGTCGGAAATGTTTATTTCTGAATTTTGAGTTGTTATATTGGTTTACCTGGTGAAAATAAACAAGTGAGATGGGTATATATTTCTTGTTAAGTTGCCTAATAATTCTGCACGTTAATATTTACCTGCACACACACAGTCTTTTGGGTTGATTAAGAACACAAATATGGCCCAATAATAAAAATAATCCTTAAAAAATACAACTTGCCTAATAATTCTGCACACAGTGTATGTACTTTAGAACATTATGTGATGTTCAATTTAATTAAAAAGGTGGGAAAACAGAAAAGTCAGTCAAACAAGTTTTTAACTGTTTTGCGTTCTACTGTTAGCGGAAAATGAAATATATACATTTTCTACTTAACGCATCTTTCCCAACTATCTGTGGGTTTAAGATCTAGAGCTGCAGAAGTTAGAGCAGTAGATAGGATGTGGTAGGGATGCATTTAGGTGTGCAGCTTTGATTTTAAATCAGTTGCTTAGAAGACATTGTAGAGGTCCCATAATAAAAATTGCTAAAGCATGCCTTTAACAGAGCCAGCCATGCAAAATAATTGTGACCACAGAGAACTCAGAGGTCACCTGTTCCTCCCTGTCACAAGTGCACTGCAGCCCGACTCTGTGTTTTGTGTGTGTGTGCATGCTCTGGGGCTTCACTCTCCTCTCATCCTTCTCTTATCTTTCTCAGCCTACCTCTACCCCCCACCCTCCACCACCACACACACACACACACACACACAAACCCACACACTCTTGTCTGCCGCCAGCCGAGTCCCCTGTGGCCCAGCGCGGCAAACAGATCGATACACCGGAGCTAGGCCGCATTAATATCTGTCGCTTCACCCCCCACCACCACCACCACCCCGGCGCCCACTCAGCTGCTTCAGTACACACACGCACACACAAAGCACACAGTTGGGCACGCACTAGCAGGCACCTAAATCACGCAGACACACAAAAACACACATCACACCCGTACTGGCGGCGGAAATGGCCCCTAGCTCCCGAGGGATCCGTCTAATTAAAAAAAGGGTGGTGGAGGGTCGGAGGGGTGTGTATGTGTGTGTGTGTGGGAGGGGGGAAGTGGATAGATTGAGGCAGGGAGCGAGAGGGAGGAGAGAAAGAGCCGGATGGATTTTTCTCTCATTAGAAGCCATGTCTCCTGGTGTGGCCTGGCCTGGCTGATAATGATGAGTCCTCTTCTCCAGCAAGGGAGAAAGGGAGGCCGAGGGAACGGAGAGGTGGAATGAGGCGAGCATTTGAGGGCAGGAGGTGGAGGGAGGGCAGGGGTGGGGGGTGGTGATGATGGCAGCAGGGGTGGGGAGGAATAAAAACATTGTGTGCTTGTTGTGTTGGTCAGGTGTTAGAAAATATCTGATTTTTGTGACCGAATTCTGTATTTGTAAAGCAAAACAAGTCTTTAGTTAATCTGGTTCTACTTTAAGCCGGGAATACACTGTACGATTTATTGCCCTTTTTGGACTGATTCTCCAATCGTGCAAGAATTTTTTAACTTTCAGCCTGATCGTGCATCGTACGTCGTGTAGTGTACAGGGGGTAACAAGGGGTGATTAGCCTCTCACAAACACCTCCCCATCAGGAATCGTAAGGTCGGCAGAAAATCAAACATTTTTTAAATTAAGTCGGCCGTAGTAAGTGTGCATCAGGGCGTTGGGCCGAAATATGAGAACTTGCGTCGCAAACTGTGAACTTTTAAACCCTGCGGTTTTATCGTACAGTTGGAGCTGTAGCTGCATCCAATTATTTAAAATATCGCACAGTATATGCCGGCTTTAGCTACATTAACATTTAACACTTCAAGCAAGTGTGACGTAAAATAAAAATGTTTGCACATATTAGACTAATTTTCAAATTTTTCACAACATTCTAAATATACATTTTTAGGCTGTCATTAGCATGTGTGTGTGTTTTTAGCGGCTAGCCAGTTAACTGTCTTTACATTGCTAAACTGGGGTAATCTGTTACCTAGACAATAGGTTCCCACCATGTCTGATCCGCAATTGTCCATGACTAAGTTTTCAGCTTAGCTTAACATAAACGTTGCTGTACTTGGTCCGTCCTTCCTGTTGTCTGATTAAAAGCTTGCTCTCTTTTAACCTCTGTAGCTTAAATGAAACCTGGACAGGTCTCAGCATGTTTTAGTTTTCATTCACCATGGTGCATTACATCTCAGTTCAAAAACCATGCTGTTAGTAATAAAGGTTAACTTACACTTCTTTACTTAGTAAGAACTTTAACATTAAAATTGCCCCAGAGTGTGTTTACTAATCCAAATATTATGGTATATTTTTTAGTTAAGCTAAGTTAGTTTAACTGGCCAGTTTCAGTCACCGGACGATTTCTGTGCATCTCTACAGAAAAACCCTGAAAATGTCTTTATCTTTAAGAGAGCCTTCTTTGACATTGTATTTTGCAGATTAGCAGTTTATGCATTAATTTATCTGAGAATGTTGCTCTGTTTATGTGAAATAGAAAAAGCACCTCATAATATGCATACTTTGTTTTTATGCACTGACTTAAATATTTATGATGAACTGTAGTTTTTATTGTTAATTTCATTACATCTTATGTGTTCATGGCCCTACAGTCTCTTGCAAAATCAATAAAGCAAATAATCTTACCAGTGAGTAATTCCACGTTAAAGACAGTGTTGCAGCATGAACCTGCAAAGGCTAAAACTATAAATCCATCCGGATCTTTATCATTTTCACTGTATTTACTGATCTCTGTGCTTCTCCTGTTTTTGCAGACATACTGCGGGCTCGTCAGGAGGCGCTGGCTGCAGCAGTCAGGAATCCCGCAGCCTTAGAGGCCCACCTGCCCACAGCAGGCAGCTCTTCATCATCCAGCCAGAGACGCAAGCAAGGTCTGCCACAGCACCGGGATGCGCATTACACCGACAGGTAAAAACCTGCCAGATGAGCCTTTTCCTTCTTCACAGTACCATATATCTATGGCATAAAAGAGTAAATATCTAACCATAGCCTCCTTTACTGATGGACAGCGAGGAGGAGCTTAAAGCGTTCATAACCAGTCAGTTTTCATCAATTTTTGCCATTTTCTTTTTACTCCGTCTTGTTTTTCCAGAAACATCTGCTCTCATGTTGGGCTTTCTCATTCTGCCCAGTTTCCACATACATGTCTAAACTAAGGCTCCAGTAACATCTTGGCTATACCGCTGTGGAGTTGTACGCCTGCCCCCCTCACCCCCCCACAGCGTTGGCCCCTGCGCCTCCCAAACAAAGCCAGGGGCAGCGGGAGTGGGCGGGTAATTGCTTGTCGATTATTTATGTGGCGCGGGAGAGGCGGGGGATCGATAATGGGCCGGCGGTGCGGCAGCAGGGGGTGTGTGTATCTTTGTGTGTGCTTGTGTGTGTGAGAGGCAGAGGGAAAGATTGGTGAGGGGTAGGAGGGGGAAATGAGCAGGAAGCAGATCGGCCAGGCGCTGTGTGGTGCAGCTCTGGGAGACGGTGGGGGTGTATGTATTTTTGTGTGTTAGACTGAGGAAGGGGGGAGCTTAGTGTTTTCCGCGTGTTTGTTTGTTCCATTTTTCGAGCCAGCGCTCTCCATGCGTGATCATCTGTGCGTACTAAATCTGGGTTTGTTTGTGTGAATATGTCTCCTAATTTGTGTGTGAGGGTGAGAGGCCAGTGGCGCAGTGTGAATGTAGTCGGCAAGCCGCGCCTGTTCTCTGACAGAACACTGAGTAATTAGCCACACAGGACTGGGGAGAGTTAACCAGACCTCACCGTCCATCCATCCATTACTGTCCAAATCCATCCTCACATCTTCCTTTGAGCTCTCTTTAACCCCATCTCTCTGAATACGTGCCTTGGAGTAAATTAAAAAAAAGATTGATGAATGGGGGGACATGTTGGAGAACATTTCAGCTGGGTGCTCTCCCTGTACGTAATCATCTGCTCAATGACCAGGACAAGGCTTGACTGGCATGTTATGGCTCTTCATATTTTTTTGGCCTAGTATCACCAAGGTTACACACTTGAGATTTTAAACTTCTATTGACTGGGAGCTAGAATTCTAACATCTAAATTAGCCAGACATTTTTGATATGAACTTATTATGGTCAGTTTTTTTTTTCTTTAATCAAGAAAAATAATTCCTTCTTTATAACAAACCTCCCTGAAAACATTCTACTAATTACATTGCAAAAGGCATTTAAATGCCAAAAAATACTCTTTAATGGTATTAGCTTCTTTTCAGTAAGACTGCAGCTGCTTGATTCCTTTGATAAAGCTGAATTAGCAGGTATTTCTCTATATCTTATGAATCTCCTCCTCTAAAGAAATCATTAGCAGATTGCATTTTGGTTTTGGTCCTTTTCTACCAACTGTGTGTAAATTCATACTTTATGAAACTTGCTGATTGGTCCTTTGTTTCCTCTCAATTGTGGCATAAGGAAATAAGGATAATTTCTAAGACTTTATAAGATAATATACAGTTATACATATATGTGAATATACAGCATTTCTGACTTTATTATTCATGACAGTGCATAACAGCAAATAAAAGAGGTTAGTATGAGTGTGTGTTAAAGGTATAGTGGAGGATGTTCTTTTTCCAGGTGGATCATCAAAATTAGTGGTCGTCCTAATTGTCAATCATTCTGGTGATATGTTTATGTATGGCTGTCTTACCCCATTTTCACTTACTTGTGGTGAGTCTGACAATGGAAAAATTGCAAATCTTCTTTTGGAACACTCGGATATTCACATTTTGACTCAATTATAAACTCTACCACTTACTTTAACTATATCATATTGAAAAATGATGGTCGAGGGCGAGAGAAATGGATGATCTGCTTGAATGGTTCCAGCTTTGGTTTGCTTTTCTGTGATTCAGACTTTGTAGTGCAACACCTAGTGGGTGACTAAGGTTAAATCTTAAATATACCAAGAACTTTTAGCCTCCCTGTGCTTCAATTTTGACTTTTACTAACATTGTTATGTTGGGCTTTTGGTTTATCAATCTGGTTTAGTTATTTACTCCATAGTACAGGCTAAACAGCCAGGTTTGGATCTTTTTACTATCTGATGAACCATTTTAAATGATAACTCTGTGAGCCTCCTGCAAATAATGGCTGCTGCAAGTCTTTGGATGATGTTTGCATTATCAACCTGAGGGCTGATTTTTAGATAGGGACCCTGTGTTTCCATCAGAGCCATTTTAGATTTATAAGGAATGATATAATCCTTCAGATTATAAATTAATATTCGTACTTTTAGAGATCAGCATTGAAAAGTGTGCATTAAATTAATATAAGTAAGTCTATTAATGGCATTAATAGTAAACAGAAAGTAAGTTCTCCAATATATATTTTTGTTTTGATACTTAGAGGTACTGCTTAACTTAAAAAAATCCTCTAGTTTCCACAGGAGACTAATGCAATTTGGCATCAGTATATCAGAGTTCAGTCTTTATTAAATAATGGATAAATCTCACTGACTATGTTGACCAGGCTCCTCTGGTGGTTAATCACTCCCAAGGATGGTACTTGGAGTCTCGCTTTTTCATCCTCTTGAAGAAAATCCAAATGGCATAGCATAGCATATTCTCTGAGCGGCAGTGTGCATTCATTGTAGTCAAAGTTTAGCGAACCCCCCCTCATGTTTTAACATGACAATGACCCTCTGTGAGGTCTATAAAGAAATGTTCTCCCCAAATGCATCCCTAAAACCCTGCTCCAGAATGTAAAGAAAGGCTTCTTCCAATGTATTGGATACCAGTAGAATGCTAGTTTAAAGGCTTTGCACAACAGGGTAGTTTGAGAGTGCCAGACTGTAGCATCTATCCAGAGTTAAACGTTAAGAAAGAATTACGAATATGTATGATTAACAAGCTAAAGTAAAACCAACAGAATGAAAGCAAGTGAGCGAAAGATAGAGGCTTCTCTAACTCTCTCCGTGGCTCACCTTTCCATCGACCCCTCATCATTGATTATCTGGGGCCCATTAGGGCCCATTGTTAAAAACAAATCATTAGGACTGCTCGATAGGCTTAGAGCCTGGCGCTCCATTTGTCTGGCCCTAAATGGCACTAGGCTCACTGAACATGTGCAAAGCAAATAAGGGATGGATGAAGAAAAGTAAAGAGAAAGAGGAAGTAGAGAACACAGGAGGTAAGAACAGGGGTGAAGCAAAAGGAGACGGCGAGGTGACGGAGGAAGATGAACCAAAATAGAGAGTAAGGAAATCGAGAGAGTGTGAGATAAGGGGAGGAAAGGGGTGGAGGGAAGATGCAGGGAGAGACGGAGATAGCAGGAGGGAGAGAGAGCAAGCGTGGAGGGAGCCTCATCCATTTTAATGAGCTTCCTGTGTAAATGTGTTCCTGCGGAGAGGGAGCCGAAGGCGGCCGCGCGGCGCTCCTAATCCCCCCACGCTTCAGTCATTAAGGGCAGCCCTTCACACATACACACACACACACACACACACACTTAAAAACACTGGGCCTGCGCTGTTGCAGGACGGGGCCGCTGTCGCCATTCTGACAGGTCGCCACACACCAGTGAGTTCCCCATGAGCCTGTGGCCTGTCTGCAGGGAGAGACGCACAAAATCCACTGATAGAGTTCAGCTTGATGATGAGTCCACCTTGCATTCTCGGTTTGCATCCGTGCTTCTTTTCAACCTTTTGCAAAAAAAAAAAAACCTAGCAACCCCCCCCCCCCAAAAAAGGCTAAATGTTTTTCCCTTATCTTTTTATAGCATGTCAGTGGTTTGCCAACAAAATGCACAGAGTGCTAAAAGAAAACCACAGACTCAGATAAATAAGTGCACAGAAACATGTGTGCATCATGCACCCAATACACACCAACCCGCCTAATGTCTGCCACTCCTTCCGCAAAATTGCCTCCTATAAAAGGAGGAAGAGAGGGATAGATGAAGGAGAGGAGGGGAGTGTCAGACGCTCTCTTTCTCTCTGCTCTTTCTTTTTCCTCCCCGTGATTAGGCCTAATTATGGTGGCGCAGACGCCTGGCAGCCCCAGTCATGCAGCTTTAATTGACCGTTATTCATCTGCGGGCAAACGCTAGGCAAGGCAGCGCAAGGAGAGGGAATATCAGAAAGAAGGGGGGGTTGTGATGAGAGTCTGGCATGCGGGAGCCTCGGTGGGGGTGGATGGGAGTTTTGCGGACGCTGTGGCGTAGCCTAGTGGAAGTACGCGTCGCAGGGCTAATTGCTGGCCCTGAGGGATTAGGCCAGGTGATTACACACTGGGCGGTGTAATTACATAAGCGGCGGCTAACGGGGTCTTGGCTAGCGGCTCCGGGGTCATGCGCCATAGCCCTCACCCAAGATTAATTGGAGCTGCCACTGGAGTGCGGGGTAGCCACGGAGAGGACGGTTATACGATTAGTATTAGCATTTCAGCGGCAATCAATGAATACAGAGGCATATACACACACAGCTAAGCTTCCCCCCTCAGTCTCATCTGCCTGCTCCTATTCAGCATGTGTCCTCACACTCCTTGCTGTTCCTGCCGTTTAGAGAGGAGAGAGAGACTAGCGGGCGCTGGCTAATTTGAACACAGTCTCAAAACAATATCTGAGGTTTCAAGCGTGCCAGTGTTGGTTTTGACTTTGTTTTGCTCAGCTTGTTTCCCATGTTTGCTTTTGTTGAGCGGCTGTCAGACAGCTGAGCGCCAAGTGGTCAGATGGTAGCAGAAACTTCAGAGAATAGTAAGGAAGAAAAGTGGTTATATACAGAGCTGGAAACTGAGACAAATGACTGGAATAGAGATGGCTGTAAACAGTATTATCATCCAGCCAATGCTCAAGTCTTCACATACCTGAGATCTGCATTAGGTCAAGATGCATGTTGCACATTCCTGTGGCAGCCTCCTACCCTGGATTGCCAGCCATAGCCATTCCTTTGAATTTTCATTTATAGCTTTAAAACCACAAGCTTAAACCAATAGACCGGCACAAAAATCTTGATTTTGAAGTTAAAGAAACATTATAGATTTTCTACTCCTCGTCTTGCACTTTATCCAGGACTGGGTCGCGGGGTAGCAGTCTCAGCGGAGACTCCCAGACTCTCCTCTCCCGAGACACCTCCTCCAGCTCTGCTGGGGGAAACCTAAGGAATTCCCAGGCCAGCTGAGAGACATAGTTCCTCCATCATGTCCTGGGTAGTCCCCTGGGCCTTCTTCTGGTGGGACGTGCATGGAACACCTCCCGAGAGAGACGTTCAGTGGCATCTGAAAAACAAAAAGCCAACTCAGCCCAACTCCTCTTGATGTGAAGAAGCAGCTCTACCTGAGCCCCTCCTGGATGACTAAACTACTACCCCTATCTCTAAGGGAGTGCCTAGCCACACTGTAGAGAAGGTTCATTTCAGCCACTTCATCCTGTTCTTTCGGTTATGTTCCAGATTTCATGACTATAGGTGAGACCACCTGGCACATGTAGAGCTTTGCATATTTGCTTGGCTTTCTCTTTACCACAACAGACCGATGTAGCGTCCACATTATAGCAGCAGTTGAACCAATCTGTCTATCGATCTCCACCTCCATTTTCTCTTAATCCCAAGATACTCGTACTCCTCCACTTGAGGCAGGAACTATTCTTCAACTTGAAAAGGACAATGCACCTTTTTCCAGTTGAGAACCATGGCTGTGGCCTTTGAGAAGCTGAATCTCATTCCTGGCACTTCACACTTGGCTGCCAACCACCTTAATGCATGCTGTAGGTCTTGACAGAAGGGAGCCTGCAAAAACTCGTCTGCCAAAAGCCGGGACAAATTTGTCTGGTCCCAAAAACAAAACCTCCTCCGGCACAAGGGAGCCTGACTGGTGACAGAGGGCAGCCCTGCTGGAGTCCACCGAGTCCAAATTAATACTAGGGACCAAAATTCTACTCCCGTACTTCTGGAGTTCCCACACATGGCACCACAAGGGATGTTTGATGACTTCTCAAGGTCCACAAAACACATTTGTACTGGTAGGGAAAACTCCTAAGCACCATGCAGAGGGTGGGGAGCTGGTCTGGTGTTCCACGGCTCTGATGAAAACCACATTGCTCCTCCTGAAGCCATGATTCAAAATCATCCAGACTCTCCTCTCCAGCACCCTGGCAAATGTCTTTCTGGGGAGACTTATTTAGTTTTACACATAAAAAGAAAAAAAAAAATCCGAAAAGTGTGGCATGCATTTGTGTACATCCCCAGAGTCAATTATTTGTAGAAGCATCTTTCTCTGTAGTTTCAGCTCCCGAGTCATTCTTGTCCAGTCTTTTTTTTTTCTACTGAAGTTCCACCAGCTTAGAGGATCAGTTTTGAAATTTGCCTCAGATTCTAAATTGAATTTAGAGTTAAACTTGCACTGGTCTTGTCTGGTCTAACCCATTATATCGTAGATCTGGCTTTAGGGTGTGTTTAGTTTTAAGCACTTTGCAGCCTCTGAACGGATTGTACCATTGCTCCATCACATTTTTTTTTCTGATCCTGCTAAAAAAAGAGCATGTCCATAGGATTGTCTGTTTAGAGGCATGTGATATTTTAGCATTTCTCTACACTTGTTAGGCATGTCGGCCAAAGCGAGAAGTGGTAGAGCCTTGTTCCATGATTGCTGTGTCCGTTAAATGACTTGCGGTCAAGCTTAAATAGGACTTCTTGGGGCTTTCTTTCCTAAATTATTTTCTGCTTCCAACATTTCTATTAGCATTAAGGGAGCGTTTCCAACTACTGTAAATTCTGTGCCTCATTTAAAAAAGCTCTCCAAGCTAAACTGTGGATCTCTACAGGACCTTTTCTGGTGGCTCCATACAGATATATGGCCCTATTTTCATTGGTTTTTCATTTGTTTCATTTGTCTTATGCACCATAGTCCATTTTCAGATGAGGGATTGGACATTCCTCTGAGAGATGTTAAATGCTTTTATAACCTAACCTTGTTTTAAACTTTTCCACAAACAGAAGTTAGTGCAAGTTAGGTTCAAGAGGGTTATTTATGGGGATAAGAAAGGAGGTTAACTATAAATCCACACACATTTGATGCTTTTATATATGAAAAGTGTTGAACCATTTGTTATTTTCTTTACATAACACTTTTGGTTTGTAAGAAGACAATATGTTGGAAACACTGTCTGTGATTTGTCCTTTAAGAATGTGAACCTTAGCGAAGGGGGGTAAAGGAAGAGAGTAAAGAGAAGAAAAGAAGTTAAAAAGGAAGGAGGGGAAAGTGAAATAAGCAGAATAAACAGACAGGATGAGGGGTTGGAGTAGGAAGGTACTTAAAGGTGAAAGAGAGGAGATGGCAAAAGAAATCTATCAACAAGACTAAGATTTTCTTTGGACACATCAGTATAGAGATGGGAGATGGTTAAGACAGAAGAAGTGGGAGAAAGGTGAGAGGCACCTTTTCCCCCTCAAAGAGAACAAAAGATGATGGCAATAATAGAGAGGCCTTTTCAGAAGAAGAGTTGCTGGATGCTCCATCTTTTCAATGAAGTCGAGAGAGAGCGACAGGGAGGGAGACGGAGTGGGGGCCATTAAAAAATGGGGAGAGAAGAGAGGAGTGTTAATTAGGAGGTCCTTCAGCCTGTGGCCCCGGTCAAGACGCAGGGGCCGCCCCAGCTGTCGGAGCGTGACCCACTGGCATTGTGCATTCAGCCCTCATTATGTGTGTGCGAGAGAGGCTGCAGGGGGAAGGAAAGGCTCCTGTCCAGGGAGCAGCAATGGCCAGCGACGGATGCTGCGGCGTGACAAGACTGATGAGGCACAGGAGTGACATGGGGGCCCCCTAATAAAAATACAGCTTATATATCAGTTAGGATGTGAATACAGGCTTCTCTTTACAATGACAGCACAATTCTTTTTGTGAAGGTGTTTTTCAGTTAAATCCAGAGGGTTAATTCATTTATGAACTAATGCCTTGCTTTTATTTGTTTGCACAGAGAGCTGTCCCATCCTCCACCCCTCCTGTCTCCAACTGCTCCTCACGTCACCTTAGGGCCTCACCTACGGCCTCCCTTCCTGGGCATGCCCTCCGCCCTTTGCCAGGCTCCTGGTGAGTGATAAGCAGAATGTGCTTCTTTTTCACTTAGAATAACCTTCATATTCTTCCATTTCCCACGTGCAGATTTTACTTTTTTTAAGCGTTATATCTAAAGTCCACAAGGCCACAATTAAAAAAATAGCCATTAATGACCCCAAAGTGCATTTCAAAAGTCTTACAAAGGAAGCTTTTTCATCTTTTTAGTGCGAGAATTTCACTTTAATTTTTATTTCATTGTAAAAAGTCAAGAGAAAGGAAATAGAAAGCAAACTTTAGAATTTAGTAACCTTAATTTTAAAAAGACAGATTAGCTAGACCAATTCTATGGTGAAATGTAAATGATAAAAAGTGAAAAAGTTAACTGCTTTATTAAAAAAGTGGATTAAAAAATAATAAAAAAGAAAATGCAATTTCAACTGTCGGTCCTCCCAATGTTTTCCCAGATCAGTGCAAATTGGCACCAAATGAACCAATGTTCAGTTGTGAAATGATGTGAAAGTGCATCTCTGACGTTTCGTCTCTTGCAGGTTACGGCTTCCTGCAGCCTGCCCAGGCAGAGATCTTGGCTCGGCAGCATGAGCTATTAAGGAAGCAGAATCTGGCCAGGTTTGTTGTTACTACTTATAGGTTAGAAGTTTAACTAGAGCCTGAACTGTTGTTAACCAAATTTATTTATTGCACAAGCATAAGAGACGTGAAGAAAGAGGTTTGTTTTGTCAAAGTCTCCGCGTTTTTTTCTTTTTTAGGCTTGAGATGTCGGCAGAGCTGCTTAGACAGAAAGAGTTGGAAAACCTCCACCAACAGCAGCAGCAGCAGCAGCGACTTCTTGGCTCAGACCCTCTAGGAGCCCTCCCTCCCGGCCTGCCCCCTGACCATCCAGCCCTGCGCAGTCTCCACGACATCCCAGAGGGACACCCCCTACGAGAGGAGCTGATCCGCCGCTCAAATGCGATGCTGGTGCTACGCCACGGCACCGCCACTCCCCTCCTAGCTCTCAACCAGCAGCAACAACAACAACAACCAAGGGCGACCTCCACACCCAAAGACACACAGGTTCACAGCTCTGCTGTCGGGCCGGATGGCGAATCCAGAAAGGCCAGCCGCAGGGAACCCGAGACAGAGCTTCGTCCTGGAGATCACAGAGGAGGAAGAGACGACAGGGGAAGGGAGGGAGACATGGAGGTACACGATGAGGAGATGAAAGACTCAGACAGTGAGACGGAGATAAGCGAAGAGAGGCGAGAGAGCTTCGTTTCCAGGCCCAGCAGTAAACCCGGCAACAGAGAGAGGAACAGGGGGAAGGAGCCTGGCAGCAAGGCAGGGTGTGAGAGTGCCAAAGAGACCGGCGCAAGCTCAGGGAGGCTGAGCGCCTCCGGCTCAGCAGATACAGAGTCACCTAGTCGCAACCTCTTCACCCCTGGACATGGCAAGGCCGATCTCAAATATCACCTGCCACCAGGGTTCATACCACCTTTGCCTGCTCTTCACGCTCAGTCGCTGCCCTTTGGATTTCCCTACGCCAGCCCTTACTTCCCTGCGGGTGAGAGAGCCTCAACACATACACACACACTGCATAGAGGTGACATGTGAAACCCATTAGCATCACTCTATGTGTGCATGTCTCCAGTGTGGCGACCTCTACTTGTTAGGGGCCCTAACTTTGACCCCAAAGTGACCCACGAGTATCCCCCCACACCCCTCCCAGCAGCACAGCCACGTAAACAGAGTACAGGGGGAGGGGCAGTTTGTTGTCAGTACATACAGGCCGTCCTGCTCTTGGACCAGCAGCAGCAGTTACACCATTTATTGGACCTTTTCTGAGCTTGGAGGCTCAGCATGTACAGCTGAAGCTGAGGCGATGGAAATCCAATAAGTTCATATAAACTGTCAGCTTATAAATCAGAATATTATTACACAGTAAATAAAAAATAAGAGGTTAAAACAGGACAACACCCAAGTAATGCAAGCACATGTTTGCATTTCTTGCTTTACTGATAAGCTGCTATGAGACTAACCGTATTATGTTTTGGTAAAATATGCTGCAGTTTTAAAACAACTTTAATAAAAGTGTTTTGCTTTAATTAAACCAAGAAACAATGGTTTATAATACTGATCCATTACCAGAGAAGCACTGCTCCACAGTAAATTTTAGGGTCTTAATTGGTTTATTTTTGTTACATGGTTATATATTACATTACTAAATTTTCATTTGTCTGGCATAATTTTCTAATTTGGAAGTAGTTTTCAGGTAAACATTGTTTTAGTGCAGACGTTTGCTCTTTATAGAGGAACAGAGTGTTGATGTTAGCTGGGTATTTGGTCAGGCATCTGCTCAGGCAGGCAGTCTGCAGTCTCTATAAAAGATATGCAGCTCCTAGCCTGACACAATCTGTTTTTAAGAAATGATGCTCCAAAGAGAATAAATTTAGCGGCCTCCCTGCAGCTGTCATTCCTCCATATAGATGAACACTAAATAAGTTTGTTCGTTGACTCAATAGAGGGGTCTTTAACCCACTGTATGGAAGAAAGTTTGAGGTATTAATGCTACCTTAACATTAACTAGCTGATGTCCAACAGCTGTACACATGTTGCTGCTCTCCTGCTCGCCGTTTCCCAACCTTAGTCAAATAAAACAATCACTAAAAACACTCAGACCCTTCGATTCACATTTATCGATTATTCTGCTCCTTCCATATTGACTCTGTTTATCTCATTATTGTGCTTTCCTCTTTAAACCCACCGACTCTTGAGAATTACTGATTTTGATGTATGATTCAGCTGTGTGCGCTCGCTGCATATATTGACATTTCACCGACTGCTGTGGGTATCCTTTGATTCTTTATTTCCAGGCTCTTTGGGGGGTCTTTTCATGGATGGGGAGGACTCGACAGCGTCAAACCCTGTGGAAGACGTCAGCAAGTGGAGCGTGGAGGATGTGTGCGGCTTCATAAGCAGCCTGGCTGGATGTGCTGAATATGCACAGGTGAGAGCTCAGGAGGAGAGAGGGGGAGGAGAGGGAGGCCAGGGGCAGGCTAATAACCATAGAAGAAGAGTAATAATAACTTCAAATACCTGGTGGATTTTAAAATTAATGTCCTTATGCTGAGGTAGAAATAGCAGAACTGCAGGTTTTCTCCGAGTTTACTGTGAATGTGAGCAGGCGAAGATTTGAGTGTGAATGAGTGTGTCTTTGTTTGTGTATCACTTGTATGTTTGAGCATCATTACACCAGCATTTACAAAACAACATTGTAAAAAAGTAAGGTTTATCATAGCACTAGCTATTAAAAAATTGATCAGATATCAGGAAGATTATTCTGAGGGTTTCCACACAATTTTGTTAAAAACCAAATTCTCAGGCTTTTTTTTTATGAACATTTGAAATTATTAACACCACTAAAAGGACAAATATTACATTGAAAAACACAAAAACAAGGAAAAAGTAGGAAACAGGACAATAGTATAGACAGATGGAAACAGAGGGTGAAGCAGACATTTAAACAGGAGGAACTGGAATAAACTCTGAATTTTTTTTTTCTTATACTTATCCAGACCTGGAAAATAGTCAAACTCTCAAGACTTGTTTTCTGGACTGTTTGAACCCTGAAATAAACACGGCATTATCGCTACCAGCCAATTCAGTTTTTATTTTCTACAAAGGGGAGATTATTAGTGTTTCCACCGCTTTCATTACAATACAAAGGTAACTGATGATACTCAGCAACATGTAGGGGAGGGGACCCCCAATGGCCAGAAAAACAATGACAATGTAATGGGTTTAAAATGGTCTACCTTTAGATTAAGTAGTGTTTCAGTTCTAAACTTAGATTTTCAACAATTAAATAACAGATTTATAAAACTTCTCTCTTCGAGGCCCGGCAGACACAGCTAAGGGTCTAAACTGAAATATCAGAGACACTATAGTTGATTTGACTCTCAAAGAACAGCTGCAAAAATTGATGAGCCGTCTTTAACGTAGACACATCAGGCGGTATTTCTCCTACTCAGCTGCTACCATAGATTTGTATAATTAACATATTAAAATGATCAATAGAAAAGTTACTATTCAGAAATGATTCCTGTTATATAAGGCCATTAGTCATTCCATTACTGATTCATCCACACTGTATAAACACTGATGGGCGTGTGGTGGTAGAGGGTGTGTGTGTGTTTGTCGGGGCTGTGGCTGAAGCGGCTGTGTCTCTGCCAGGTGTTTCGGGAGCACGCCATTGATGGGGAGACACTGCCGCTGCTCACTGAGGAGCACCTGCTCAACACCCTGGGACTAAAGCTGGGGCCTGCGCTCAAGATCCGCTCACAGGTACACACACCACACACCTGCGCGTGTGTGTTGCAGTGTGTTAGAGTGGGGCTGAGTGTTTGTGTGTTTCTGTCTTTAGGAAAACTATTAGCATAGCATAGAATAGCTGATCCCTCCCCTTCTTAAACTCGCCTGCCCCTCAAACTGCAGCCTCTCTTCTTCTCTCTCTCCTTAATAAAGTAAAAATAACCAACATGAGGCCAAAAGAGCTGTTCTGACAGTCGTATGGTTCCTTCATCTCCACAGGTGGCGCGGCGTGTTGGCAGGCTCTTTTATATGACAGGATTTCCTCTGGCATTCCCGTTTCCACCTTCTGCCGTGCTGCGCCCTCCGGACCGGGATCGAGACCCCCTGACCGCAGCATCTGACGCCCCTCTGCCCCTCTCTCTGTCAATGCCGCACCGCCCAACCTCGACCAGCAGCAGCTCCTCTCCGTACAGCGGTCCAACCGCAGGATGCTCGTCTCCCAAACAGGAAAACGGCACAGGCTCTGCAGTGGTGGGAAGATACGAAGCTAAAACCCCCTCGTAGGAGCGGTCCTGGCGGTGAGGGAACCAGATGCGCCTAAATCTGAGACATTTAAATTTTAAAATGATGGGGAATCAGGCTGGAGAGCAGATGACAAAGTCTGCAGTGGCTTTGAGAAGAGCAGAACCCAAAGAAACTGGGCTGGAAGGGAGAAATGCGAAGTGACAGAGGAAGGGAGGAAAGGGAGACAGCTGGTCACAGGCAGGCTGCCAAGAAAAAGAAGCTGAGTCCTGCAACAAGACGCGACATTCTTGCAAATAAGACTCCAGCAGAAACTCTTCTCTCCTTCCTGGGCACGAGGAATCTCTCCTCAATCACTTTTCTTTTTCCTCCAGTAGCCATCTCTGACTCTAGCTTTACCCTGCAGAGGCCAGGAATTAAAAGCAACATGACTCCCCTCCTTTCTTTCCTGCCTCCCAGACCATCTCCCTGAGGATAAGCAGCAGTCACCCTGTTTTTATTCAGGCTGGAGTTGAAGCCTGTGCTGAAAACAAAACAAAAAAAGCACCAGATCTGACCAGCTCCCTCTTGTATCACTGCAACTATGCATTCCACTGTCCTGATACCAAAGATGACCGGATATGTGGAAGAGGAACTCCCCATGTGTTGGTTTCTTTTTGCATTAATGGTCCCACAGGGAAATGCTAAAACTTGGGCTTGGTACGGCAGACCCTGAGGCAGAGCTGTAACAGTAACTGCATCTTAGTAAACACAAAAGTTATTTTATCCCAGTAAAATGCCATCCAGAAACTAAAAGTCATATTGTAACAGATTATATCAGATTGTATTGTTACAGCTTGACAAAACTTCATTTCTTAATAAACATGTTAGCTTACAGCTAATGAACCTCCCACCACCCTCACAAAAAAAAACAAATACATTTTCATTAATACAGAAATGTAGGCCTATTAATATGTGCAACCTTGTACTGTTCAGTTAATGTACCTGCTTGGGCTAATTCACAATGAACCCCTGCCATCACATTAAGGTGACCAGAGGTTCTACCAAGTTATAGAAGTACTTTTTCCATTCTCTGGCTCAGGATTTGCTTAACCCTCTCAGGCTCAAATTAAATTTTAGTTGCAGGAAAAAATCTGATATTTGGAGAAAATTATCATATGGGGTACTTTTTTGAGAGAGACATTCACATGCAATGAATTCTGGGATGTTGCAGATTTGCAACAGTGGCCCAGAGTGGTAAATTAACACTGAAGGCTGAATCTGATATGAATGTTAACTTTATTTGAATGTCACAATCAAAAAATTAAAACAATAATCGAAAAAAAAAAATTCTGTCTAAAAATTAGAGACACATTTTTCTCAAACTTTTTTCCCACCAACATCTCAAAAACTCTTGTTAAGCTGTTGCTCAAAATATAGGCAAACTAGTAGATAAAGCATGTACCATCCATTGGTACCTGTTTGGGCACACGTTGCGAATCCACAACATTGAAATCGAGATGCCTCTGGTGAAAAACCGAGAGATAAAATCTGCTAATTGGCATGTGTCATATCTATACACATTCATGATTCATCTTATGTAGTATTTATTTCAAAATAATGGAAATTGGTTGTATACTTAAATGAAATTGGTGCTTAGAAAATCTCAGCCATGTTGAAAGTGAGTCAGCAGTGCTATCTAGTGAGCTGGAGAGAAACTGTTTGTTGCAAATGCACAACTAAGTCCTTCTGTTGTACTTCTGAGTAACATAAGCTCTTAAAATATGGATGTGGAGTAATTAGCTAAGTGGCATTTAGCTGTTGCAAATCTGCAACATCTGCCTGGAGAGGGTTAAATGCAGTGCTGTTATTTGTACAATTTCTTTCTTCCACCCAATTTTCCATGGTGTTGAGTACAGCACTCTGAACTAGCAGAAACGACAGGCATAACCCTTCTTGTAAAGGAGGAATTATGGAGTTTCATTAGCTGTGAGTCAATCTGTTTGCGTCATGAATCGATGAGAGTTCCACTTTTTGAATTTATTTGAATGAATTAACTTTTGGATGGTTTATCTTGATGCACCTGTAGTGGACTGTTTAAGGCAGAGCGATTTGCCTCAGAGGGTGTCTGTCTACAATGTCAGTGTACACTTGTGTTGACTACTACGAAGTAGGACAAACATGCAAAATTGTACAGAATTGCGCTTGAGATGAAAATATTCTGGTGGTACTTACATTTTTTTGTTAACGTAGTTGCACGACTAAGAATTTCTTTACTGACAAATGTGACTTGCTGAACTTTGGTGGTACTTTGGTTCATAATTTTCTTTAAAAAAATATTAAAAAAACGATGCTCCAATGCTAACCCAGCATATAAATACGAGGACAAAAATATTTATAGCATTTTGATGTAGTAGATAAAGCAGATTATGATATGTATTAAAATCAGCCCTTAAGATGGATTCCAAAGATACTTTTACTTTCTTTTCTCTTGGTTGCAGGGAAAAAAGGCACAAAGCTCTTAATGCAAATGTTTTGAATTTCTTATTGATTTTTTTTAAATATAAAAAAGCAATGAATTAATAAAAAAAAATGTTCTCTAGATTTCCCTTCAGAAGTTTTGTTTTCATCCTATTTTTCTATTCACCACACAGGTGAAATAAATCCTAAAGAGAAACTCTGCTGCCTCTTGTGTGTTTGAAGCCTTTTTTTCTTCCCGGCGGTTGTGGTTCTTCCGTAAAAAATGTGCAGAATAGGAAGGAGGTATGTGGTCCCCTGTTGTGTGTGTGTAATGAGGAGGGGGGAGGTGACCCATGAGGGCCCAGGTCCAGGTCAACACCAGCTGTTGAAGTGTGAGGTTCAGCCGCAGGCCAAGGCCTCCCTGCCTGTGGGGGCAAACGTGTCCCTCCTCACACACACACATACACACAAACTACCACCATCTCAGCGCCTTGCTCACACTTACCTTCCTCCTTCAAAGCACCACGCTGTGTTAACTCTGATGGGACTTCCCTTTGCTTTAGGCGAGCTTCTGCTGCAGAAGCTTCACAGTGAAATCTACTGCAGAGGAAACGTGACGGGGAGTTGTTTAAATCAAATCTCCATTATCTGCTGTTTAATAACCCTGCAGTGAACACCTTTTGATGCCTCCATTATTTGTGCAAAATCATCTTCGGTTTAGTGCTGATTTTTGGGGAAAGAATCCGAGAAGGGAAAGCCTGTAGGAGTGGAAATGTGGCGTCTGAGCAGATGAATGTGAAGAGATAGGAGACAGTGGTCCGGGCAGGGGGGTGGGGGTGGGAGGCTGGAGCTGGCGCAGAAACAGAACAGCCTGTGTTGCAGCTTCACCACCTGGGCAGAGTCTTGGCACAGCATCAGACACCGCTGCCATCCTGGCAAAGCGCCGTCGCCGCGGGGCTCAACACCCGCCTCGCCACACCCTTCCTCTTGCCCGGCTCAAAGCGTCCACATAACAGCTCCCTCTTTCTTAGCCTGAGGGGAACTACAGGTGAGGACATGTGCAGAGGATGCTTTTCTCCTTTTAGGTGCTTTACCATCCATCACACTGCAAGTGATTAAATCTTCTAGTTAAAAAAAAGGAGACAAAGTACGAAGATAAGGGTTCATAAATGTTTTCTTGGTTAATAAACTTACATCATGATCGTATCTTTTCTGTACACATGAAGCAATACAAAATTTTAAAATTTGAAAGTAGAACAACACTGTGGCTAGGTCAAACTCAGTCCTCATCAGACAGCTGCAGATCTTCCACCACGTCTTCCTCTCCCTCTGCCAGTTTTATCAGAGCGGCAGAGGACAGTGGCTGAGGAGCCTTGGAGGCATTTTCATCCTCCTCTTCATCATCGTCTTCGTCACCTGGAAGACAAAGACAAGACCTTTATTATCCCAAACATACTTAGCTTAACTCTCTACAATTGTGATACATTTGAAAGTTTTCTAAATAATTTCCCATTTCTGACACCATGTATTTGGAATCAATACTCTGTGGGAATCAGTGAATTGCTACATTTAAGGACGCATAAATACTTTGTTTACCCTCAGTTCTTCATCCAGTATTATGGTTAATACAAAGATTAATGATGTAGAACATTTAGTAAAACACAAAACCTGGTCAAACATGACATTTTCCAACACATTGGTGAGATTTAGTTGACAAAAGCCCTGCTAATATGTAATATTTAAAAGTAAATGATGTCTACCAAGATATAAATTTAGGTTATTCACGAGTGTGACAGTAATTGTGCAGACTGCTCAAGTGCTTCTTTCACAATTAAGTGTTCCAGTGTTAAAATGGATAAAGGCTCCATTAGACTGATCACTTTAAAAATACCATCTAGGTTGGCAGACATGAATGCGCTTAGCGCTGGCTGGGACATCTCAGACCTATAGGTAAATTCACAGAGTTATTTGGTTCCTAAAAGTAGCTTCAGGCAGAGATTTAGTTCATTGCAGGATAAGTTTAACACCTGTGGGGGACTATGCACTGGAACGAGTTAAAAGCTTTAACGCTAAACATCCTTAGAGTCTGAATAACAGCGTCCTGTGGGATCTATAAGATTTAATATAGACCAAAAAATAAATAAATGGGCTTTTTTTGGATAAATCGGCAGAATTCTAGGTTTCCAAATCGGTCTTTAGATACGCAGGGTTATTTGGAATCTAATAATTGTTTCTTACTGTACCCATACGTCCTTCTGTTTTCCTCTACATTGGAGTTGTGTGCACTGACCTCCTGTCCAACACCCATGATGGACAGGAATGGAGTGGGTGCAGTTGGTCAGTCTCACTGCTAATCCCGTATCAGAGCAATGTTCTAGGTCAGGGGTCTCAAACCGGTTCCAGAAAGAGCCGTGTGGATCCAGGTTTTCTTTCCAACCAAGCAATGGCACACCAGACTCCATTCATCTCTTCAACTGAGTGCAATCTGAACATGACGACTTGACGAGATGAATTGAGTCTGGTGTGCCATTGCTTGGTTGGAAAGAAAACCTGGATCCACACGGCTCTTTCTGGAACCGGTTTGAGACCCCTGCTCTAGTTAGTCTAATTTGCTGATAAGCCAGTCATCATCATGAGCCAGGAAATCTAGTGATCCCCAAAAAAGCATTCCCTCCTAATTAATTTCCAACATCCTCCAGCAGAGCCAAGGCATCCATATAGATACGTGGTGTCATAACAGTATTTAGATGTGTTTAGCCATCAGTGTGAAAGCCTCACAACAGGGATGCATCGCTCTTGTGATCATTGGGAGGAGAAATGTGAATGTCAGAAAAAGCTTAGATATTTCAAACACTTATTTAGAATTTAAGCTGGTTTATGAACCTTTTTTATTCAGTTATGGCTCTGCAGTGTGAGCATATATCAAACTGTGCTTTCTGATCTAATAGTTAATCTACAATTTAAGTTTCCTATGAAGTAAAATTAAATGTCAGAATTATGAGGCGACCTGGTGGTGCTGCATGCCAACAGATGACCTGTACTGTATCTGGTTTGTCACAAAAATCATTTGAAGTGTCAAAAGGACCAGTAACCTCTGCTGCTCAACTATCACCACAAACTCTCAAGCCAAGAACTGCTTCCTGTCCGACTTCAAAATAAAGGCATGTTTCTACTTTCCTAAGTTAGGCTGTTTTATAGCCTGGAGGTGACTTCTACACTCAAATCAGCTGACCAAGATACAGAGAGACAACGGCTAATCACATCTAAGGACACAAAAAATTATAATGGCTGCAAAAAAGGCTTTATGTTTTTAATGGCGGTAAATGTAGCTCATCTGGTAGAAAACTTTTTGTCATTTTGTCTCCAAATAATAATAATAATAATAAAAATAATTTAACTTTATTAATCTGACACAGGAGAAATTCACCTCTGCTTCTAACCCATGCCCTTGGGGAGCAGTGGGCTGCCACTGTGCTGCGCCCGGGGAGCAATGTAGGTTAAAGGTCTTGCTCAGGGACCCAGAGTACAGGCTGTGGGGATTGAACCCGGTACTTGCAACCTTCTCAGAGCAAAACGCACTGCTCTAACCACTAGGTCACCCCAATGATTATATCAAGGCATCAACTACAGAAACTTGGAAACACCCTGAGTAAACCTGTTATTATCGAGACATAACAGCCACATAATAATTCCCTTTAATTGATTTTTTTAGCATGTTAACATGAACTGAAACCTTAGCAAACTGGAGTAATAGGTCAGGATCAGCTCTACTGCATGTAAATGTCAGAATCCTATGTTCTGTTCACTATACAAAGGAATTGAGCTTTTATTTTTTGTTTTTCCCCTGAAAACCTTCTCATAACATTGCTTTAATACATAATGCAGTTAAGATTCATCAGTTTTTTAATTCCATTTCTGTTTGATATATTTTTACAATTTCTATTTTAGTTCTAATTGCAGATATAAGTTGTGTTTGACCATGGAGACATCGGAAACACAATGTAGACACAATATTATATATATAATATATGTAAGGTTGTGGGCTAAAGATGGCCGCCCTCAATCTGCATTGTATTTGAGTCCCACTCAGCTGGTAGGAGTCCCAATAAAAGTGTCTTTAATGATTCTGCTAAAAAAATAAATTTTCAATTTTGGGTTCCTCCATAATTACGTATGGAAATGAAAGGCTTTTTTTTTTAAATCTATAGTTTTTATATAATGTATTCATTTGATTTTTACATATATTTATGAAGTGGTTAACTAAGTAAATATACAAAGTTTAGTTGTTTATTTTATTGATGAGGAACAAACATTTGTCTAAAATGAACAGTTTTAATTATAAAGAAAAATATTTGGTTTAAAATGTCTTTATCCTTAAAAACATAGTAAAATGAAATTGTTTGGGAAGTGACATGATACAGACCTGAGTCTCCTTCCTCCAACCCTTCCTCATCGCTCAGGTCAGAGACATCCTCATCATCATCATCCTCAGATTCCTGGTTGCCCTTCTTACCTGTGAGAAACAAGAAAAAAAAAACCATCAAAAACACAGAGATTTTTGTCTCTGCTTTCTTCCCTCAGATACTCCTGAGCTCGCACTCCTGCATCTGTGACGTCTGAGGACTTTGGAGACGCGGATATGTGGGCCAGGTATCAGAGGCAGCTGGAAGTGTCTATTTCCTCCAGAGATGGAGCTGAGAGTCGATTACAGGCGGTGGCGGCGCCGCTGCTGCTGCACAAACACCCATGACAGTTTACTACCGGCAATTTCAGACATCTCCTGCTCAAGGCCTAAATATAGCAAATGAAGATAGCAGACAGGTTCCAGAGCTACAATCAGGACGGCAGAGGCAGTGCCTGTGTGAAGTTTGGAGTTTTTCTGAACTTGTCCTCAGAGGAGATTGTGTGTTTGTGTGTGTTGTCTCGCCAAAGGGACAAACTGGGGTCCAAGGGCTTTGAAGTTAGGAGCGTGATGAAGAGGCTGACGTTGTGATGGAAAGAGGCGAAGCAGAGCTGCTGCTTTTTTTGTGCAGCTCCACACACGCAGAGAGATAAACAACATCTATTAAAGCATCAGGTAGCGCTCGGCTCCCGTCTGAATTAGAAACAACAAATGTGCTCTCAGTCTTTGAGGCTTGCATGCTGCACGCAGATTTCCGCAGCGCTGCCTCAAGAGCTTTGCCCCAAGATGACCTGGATGACATATCACCGCCACATGCTGACAGTCTGAATCATCAGCCCCCTCCTCTCCCTCTCTCTCTCTGCTGTTCGCCAGACCTGGACTGGACAGCGCCGTGGCTGTGCAAATGGAGAAAAGTCACAGGGGAGAGAGAGGGAGCAGCCACCTCTGGTTTGAATTAGGACCCTCCCCTGCTGGGATGCAAGTCTGTACTTCCTGTTTTGGGGGGGGGTTCAGCTGTGTGTGAGAGCTCTCAGGGTGTAGGCGCTTGCCGGCAGCGGCCCATCCGTTTGTGGGGGCTCTCCCTACAATGAAGACCAGATGCAAAAGAAAAAAGGAAAAGATAAACCCTGCAACAGCCGCCTCCTTTCCTCTGGAGGGATTTTTCTGCTTGCAGCACGTCGGAGTCCAAAGCTGTGAAAGAGGGGCTGCAGCTGCATGTGACCCGCAGACGACCCCGAGCTGATTGGGCTCCCTGCGAGAGGGAAACGGACCAACAGTGTGATAAAGCAGAGATTTTTCTCTTCAGATGAATTTAAGGGATTTAATTTCCACAGAAACAGCCTGAGAGGAAGTGTTTAGATGGTGTGACACGGTGATGGGCACCATATACCCAAACCTTTCCAGATAAAGGCAGAGGAATTGGAGATAACTGTAATCACCTTTAAACCTTGCTTTCTAACTTGATGTGACAAAACACTGCCCCCTAGAGGGCAAGATCAGTAGTCTTACCAGAGCAAACTGGTGAAAATCCAACTGCTTCAAGTTTTCTTACTTTTGAATTTGAGTCCCAAGTCACTGTCGTCCGAGTCGCTGTCAGACTGGAACAGATCCTTGAATTGCTTTTTGTCCTCAGCCTTCTTCTCTTGGATCGTCTTCCGTTTGATCTCCGGCAGGTCCAGATCCTCCATCTTTATAATATTACGGAAAACAAGTCATATATAAAGATGGTGTTTTGATATTTCTGCCAGTGAAATGTTTCACAAAACTGTTTGATGATCAGTAATTGCAAGCGACTCTGAGATTGACAGAGCAGAGGCTCATGTGGGTGGGGTTTTCCACAGGATAATTACCCTGTCTTTGCCAGAGATCTCCAGCTGGATCTCCTTCTCTCTCAGCTTCTTCCACTGGCTGTAGTATCTTGTGAGCGGAGTTCCCTCCTCCTTGGTCTGCTTCTCCCAGGCCGCCTGATTAAGAAAACACAACGAATGCACGTGTAAGGGAACCAGGAGCTTCACAGAATCTCTCTGAAGCGTTTATGGGGGTTCTCTTAGAGCCTCTCTTCCAATACGTTACCTTGAGCACCAAAGTTATAGCGACAAGCCATTTTATGTGAGGGACAAACAGAAAGAGCAAAACTCATGAAGCTTGTATTTGCATTCATTCCCCTTGACTTAATGCTTTTTAAAACAAATCTAGCCAAAGTTACAGCAGCGTGTCTTTGAGCTTCAGCACATCTATACACTGAGATTTTGTCAATTTAACGCAGTATAGCTCGAGGCTCAGTCAGTTTAGATGGAGAGAATCTGATCATTTCCAGATCTTGCACAGATTCACCACTAGATTAAGCTCTTTATTTTTATTTTCTTTCATCTAAAAGGCTCCATTTTATCTCCAGCTGTACGTATGGTCACCCTATAGAGCAAATTTACATGAAGAGCACATTCCCTCAACAGTTGCAAGCTAATTTGTGTTAATGGCGGCTGTAAAGTTACAAAATGATGAAAGCAGTCATGAATAAATACGAGAAACAGAGAACCGATTGCAGAGGGCTGAAAGAGGAGTCTTCTCCATCTCTTAGAGGTCTGGGAGAGATTGATTAGAGCCAATCACATTATCTGACCGACAAACCCAATAGTCTGCAGTTTGGTTCAACCTCAACACAATCTGCTGTGAAGCATTTAAAGACGAGAGATTTCAGGGTTTTAAAACATAAAACTAGTTTCGGTAAGCCAGCCGTGGATGCAGGCAGGGCATAATTAATTAGGCTCACTCTCAGTTTGGGTGGCATGTTAGTAAGCAGGGGGGCTGGTGCCCAGAGGGGGGCTGTGGCCTTTTCCACGGTGGCAGCAGCAGGGCTGTCCCCTCTCCTCCGCCTGTGGTGACACCTCCACTGCTGCCATGATGCCGGGAGTCGGCTCTGCCTCGACAGCCTCCGCTGAGCAGGGATCTGAGCCGACAGGCACTGGCACGGCGCCGCCCCGGTACACAAACACGCTTCCAACACAAAGCAGTCAGCTAGGAAGATTTAGTTAGAAGTCATTGCTGTAATTAATGTTGAGTCAACTTGACGCCTGGCCACATAAAACCACCCATGGATGAATAACTTTGTACATTTTCACCTTTTATTCCTAAAACAAACCCAAACAAAGCGATGCTCATTATTGCATACATGCTGCTATCCTAAAAGCCTGTTAGAGCTCAGAATAAATTCCTGTAGTAGCAGCCTTGCCTGCAGCTCCTTCCTAAACTACAGCACCACCCAGAGGAACAATCACATTTAACCGTCCGTCTGAACCAGAGGAAAGGTTCTCCATCTTCAAAGCTCGCCCCATCTCAGCCCAGTTTATAAAACACAGGCAGCTTAGTGTAAACTGAACTGTAGAGGGTTACATTAACACATTCCCTTTACGTTGGTCTGCTGCCACAGTTTGGTCATTTTATTTTGGTTGTTTTCTGTTAGAGATGAGTGTTAGTTGAGCTCCAGATGTAAAGTAAAATAAATGATAAAACAATCAATCTGTTCCGGTTTAACTCCAGCCTTTTCTCAGTGGTTAAACATTTATTTTCATCTTCGATCTCTGAGAAGTTACTGGGATTGGTGTTTGTTTAACCACTAATAAAATGTAACCAGGCACAAAGACAAACAAAAGAAAAACAAAAAAATACTTGGATTAAAAAAATAAATAAAAATCTGGTAATGCTGAATGTTTTAGCTGATGACAGATCAGTGAACAAAATAAATATAAACATTTCATACAGAACAGGTAGGAAGCACAGACATAATAGCTGCTAACAGGTATGCTTGATAAGTAACTAACTGATCATAGAGTGAAAAAATAGATCTTTCTCTGATCAGTGAAAGGACAATACTTAGCTTTACCACCAGAACACACATCCGAGCCCGTGACATCATCAATGACCCCGCACACCCCCACCATGGACTGTTCTCCCTGCTGCCTCCTGGGAACAGGTTCTGCAACAGCTTTTCCCCCGCTGCCATTAGATTGTTGAAACTCTAATCTAGACATCATATTTGCACCATCAACATGGCTGATTTTTTTCCTTTTTTTTTATAAGCCCTTTAAAAAGAACACAACTCCATATCCTACCACATTTTGCACCACATTTATTTATTTTTCACTGCACTGTTACAATAGGGAGCTAAACATTAGCTATAGGAAGCTAAATGTGGAAATGCAGAGCTGCTCCGTTTCATCCTTTAGGGCAGCGGTCCCCAACCTTTTTTGCGCCACGGACTGGTTATATGTTAGGCAATATTTTCACGGACCGGCCTTTAAAGTGTGGGGGGTAAATACGATCAAATAAAATTATACGACTGCCATAAAATTAAATACGAACAGCATAAAATAAAACTCACCATTATGTTGAATTAGTGAGAGACCTGAGCTTGTTTTTTTCCGAAACAAGTCGGTCCCATCTAGGCGTAATAGGAGACAATGACACACGAAGTGTGCTCCTAATGTCCTGTCTGCTCCGTAAATGCAGAAAATCCAGCTTGTACAGCCCGGTACCAAATGACCGACGGACCGGTACCGGTCCGCGGCCTGGTGTTTGGGGACCGCTGCTTTAGGGAACCGTTGGATTAGGAAATGTAAGGAAATTAACTGCTTCTAGCAAATGTTGTCATCACAAATATAAAATGCTAAAGACTGTTTAAAAAGACAATTTTTATAATTTATCATTTTTTAAATTTTATTTTACAGAAGCTTGTTTATCTATACCTTTTTATTCCCCTCTCTCTGCACAGCAACGCCACCTGCAGTTCTAGTATAACTATTTAATATGGACAGAAAGACTTCTTTCAGCATTGTTATAAAAATCAATCATTTAACAAAGATACCATGTCCAAAATAAACAATAATGGCTTTTTATGCAGATACAAAGCCCAATAATTGTTTTAATTCTTCCCTAGAAATCATAATCCTTGTAAATATCTCAGTTTTGTCTGAGTAAAACAATGAGGTGTGTGAGGAAAAAACCTTGGCTCAGGCTAAAGTAATCAATCCACCAACCTACTGATGAAGATCAAACTCAGTAAAAGGTGCTGCACACTTAAGAGCAACAGCTTGGGGCTTCAAACAAGAAATGTGGGACGGAAAGAATGAGGGCTCCTGATCAAAACCATCAAATCTGCTAATGTAGGCTCTGATGTTGGTCTGTGCTCCGCTCCAATGGCAAACAGCCTCTTCAGCAAATTAACCTCAGAAGTGACACGTGTTAGAACCCAGCAGTTGGTTTAAAGCATTTTGAATGTGACGAAAACTCAGGTGCCAAGCAGCTGATAAGCTGTGGGGAGCCGCAGCATGATAAACTGAAAAAATGACGAACCTTTGTGAAAGCAGGTTTTTATCACTACATTAAACCATGAATTACAAAACTCATTACAACTGCATCTTTGTGCGCGACATTGATGAAATCTGAAGCTTTAAAGGTGACTTGCATCATCCCCCTGCAGATTAATCCTATCAAGTTTTACTAGAAATGAAACTCTTTTTAAATGAAAGGTGTGAAGCATTAAGTCTTCATCCGTCTGAAACCACCAGCATTAAACAAATTAGCCTCTAAAGTTTCTCACACTTCGTCAGACAGCTGCTGAAGCGACAGTAATATCAGGATATCACCATCGCCCTCACAGAGCCACAGGTTTCCATATCTTGGGGTGAATCGATCTATAAATCACATCTGACCCGTTAACAACCTTTAAAAAGACTGACCTGCTGATTCCAATGCTTCATAACTGACACCAGCAGCTCTTACTCTTATTTTATTTGAAAATTATACATTTCCCTAAAACATGTTTTGACTGCACCTGTGGTAGGATGTTAATAAAACTGCCTTGCCCAAAGTTCTCCACAAACTTTAGATGATTGACAGCGGATGTTTTTCAGATCTTTGCTGAGGTAGATAAGACTGGCGGAAAATATTAATTTCACATTTAAAGAGGAATTTCGGGTTTTTTTATTTTTACATTGGGCCCTTGATTTTACGTTATTACACCATGTTCTAGTCACCCATATGAGTTTTGTATTATTTGGAGCCGTTCTGAAGATATTCTGTTAGGTTATATCCAAGTAACATCTTCCTATGGGCAACGAGTTGAAGGCACAAACTAGGGGTGTAAATAATAATCGTTTTGTATCGATGCATCGATCCAAGAGCCGACGATCCGATGCATCGACACGTCCGCAAGATAATCGATTAATGTTTTTTTTTTTTCCCTCCGGTCTATTTTTATCCATTTGCTCCGGGGCGTAACTCTCCTCCCTCCCTGCGGTGCCGCTAAACTTATTTTGCCCTCCTACCGCGCTTCCTGGTTATACTCTTACAGCAGTGTGTTGCAGCAAGCTTCACACAGACATTTTTAAATTATGCTCAATATTGAAGCGTGGTCTGAGCTACACGCTGTGGGTCTAGATACGGCCGAGGCGGCAAGGAAGTGGGGGCGAGTTTAGTCCGACGACGGAGGGAAAAAAGAGCGGAGATTCAGCTGGAAAAAGGCTCCCAGCGTTCTCGCGCACCTCGCTCTTCTAGCGGGTCAAACTTCACGAGTTGTTTTCCGCAATTTCGGTCATAAAAACAAAACAAGCCGGCCTCCTGTCTGGTGCACTGTTTGCGGTCAGCTACAATCTGGGAGAGGAGCAGCGAGCGTCTCTCAAGGGGCGGTGACGTCAACACTCTGGAGCCTTCTTCTTCTTCTTTTTTTTAATGGCGGTTGGCAAACAACTTATAGGTGCATTACCGCCACCTTCCAGAATGGAGTATGGACCAGACAAACTATTATATTCTCCCTAAAATACCCGTTCTTCTTAGAAAATTAAAAATACTACCAAAAACTACATCCCCAGATGACCTTTGAAACAATTCCCTTATATCTAGTTTACTTTTATTCCTGTCTAACTCTCTACACAACATCCCTCTTTCCTGAGTATATTTATTAAATTCTAAAAAAATATGTTGGACAGTTTCTTTGGAGCCGAGGTATTGCATTGAACTCATTACACTGATATTGTGCAGTATTTTTACAGTATTTTTTGATGCAACTTTTCTACTTCTGTTATTTGCTGTTGTTTCTAAAGAAAATGCATAACGATATTACAGCTTTCATTGATTTATTTCAAACTTGAAACTTTGTTTATCCTGTAAGGTGTAAAAAAAAAAAAATAATAATAATAAAAAAAAAATTAACCGATTAATCGATTAATCGAATCGAATCGTGGTGTATTCTTAAGTATCGAAAATAATCGAATCGTTGGGTCAGGAAATCGATACTGAATCGAATCGCCATGATGGATGTGATTTACACCCCTAGCACAAACTAAACTGTTCATAATTTATTCTTTATGGTTCGCCAGCATTGATAACATGTAGGTGAATCACTGTCCCCCAGACATTCGTGGTTATATTTTTTATATTTATATATTTTAAGAACAAAGCGGCGTGTGTATGACGTCATCCACGCCGGACTGGAGTTTTTTTTTTTTTTTTTCCCCAAAAAAAACTTTATTTAACCAATGTACATTACACCAGGCGGCTATGCTCTACCTCTTATATATTCGGCTAGCTAATCTGAATCGTTCAATTCCATTTTGAGAGCGAGATTATCTGTGGTAGTAGCACTAGACATCTTCCAGGCATGTGAGTAAAACTAGCAGCAGTTCAGCGGACAGGATGAATGAACGGTAGCCGGCGCACGCGGATGACGTCATACACATACCGCTTTGTTTTTAAACGATATAAATATAAAAAATATAACCGCGGATGTCTGGGGGAGGTGATTCGCCTACATGTTATGAATGCTGGCGTACCATAAAGAATAAATTATGAACAGTTTAGTTTGTGCCTTCAACTCGTTGCCCATAGGAAGACGTTACTTGGATATAACCTAATGGAATATCCTCAGAACAGCTCCACATGACACAAAACTCATATGGGTGACTAGAACATGATCTAATAACGTAAAATCAAGGAGCCGATGTAAAAAAAATGGCATTCCCTTTTATTACACTGCCTTGCCTAAAGTTCTCAACAATAAATAAAAACTTTAGATGATTGACAGATGATTTTCAGACCTTTGCTGAGGTAGATACGACTGGCAGAAAAGATCAGTTTCACATTTAAGCATCAGCCAACCAGCGTTTACCCACATATAAGGAAACTTGGACAGATTAAAGTACTGCAAATTAATCTACAGCCCAAAGTCACAAACGTAAATTATCATTTATTTTTAACAACAAGGTATTAATAGAACCATAGCATAGAATATAATTTAAGTAGTATCTATTTCTCATTAGTGCAGCAGAACATACAGTAGCAGCTAATAAAATGGTCCTTCCCAGTCAAACGCCAGCCGAATGGTAGCCCACTTCCCTACAACTCCCAGCAGAATCCCCTCCAGCTTCCAGTCTTTGGAGTGACCCCTCCTTCTCCTGGGCGTGCACATCTGACTCCCCCCTTTCACTTAATTACAGGGTCTGACAGGAGATGATGCTTCTCTTTAGATCGTAATTTCCACAAATCATAACAGAAAGAATATTTTAGTACAAAGATTAACAAGGAATTGTAGGGGACCAGCCAAGGACCCATGAAGGACAGTGAGGAAATTTTGAATGGCTACGACTGTAAATTTCCTCTAAACACAACTTTGAATAGTCCTGCAATTTTCCTGTAATATATCAGCCTGACAGATACGTTGTATTTGGTGGAGGACATGAACAGCCCAGCTGAGCCTCTGCTGTCGCACCTTAATTCTAATATATGGTTAAATAGCTGCTAGGAATAACTATTTCAGATAAACCAGCAAAAGCACAATAATACAGAGACAGATCCAATCAATCAGATGGCAAATAAGTTAGGCCAATATTATTGATTCTTTAAATACTGATTTCCTCTAAGCATACACAGACAATAAGAAAGAGGCGTGAGCCCAGCTTAATCAATAAAGGTACATATAATGTGACACTACAACCACAATTCAACTACATGCAGGTAAGGATGGAGGGTTAAAGTGGAAATAAAAAGATACAGTATGAAATAGGTGTAAATGTATAATGAAATTAATGTAAAATGAAATAATTAAATATACAATTTTATATCAAATACGTCATCAAATAATTTAATGTACCATTGAATCATGAATAGTAATATTAATTAATCAAATATGCCAATATATTATCAAATATAGCTCAAATTATGACATATTTTTATTCATTTACATATACCTTTCAATACTTCACTCTGTATTTATATACTTCAAGGTGTCTGCTCAGTAACGTCTTTAAATTATTTAAGCTATCAAATTCACTCATTAAACTGAGGGGGCGGGATTAGATCTGCTTCCATAGAAACCGAGATGTCTGATTGGCTGCTCATCACTGAACTTCTTCCTGGGTATTTTTTCCTCCTAAAGTAGAAATTATTTTTTAAAAAGTGATGAATTTAATTTACTGTGCTTTAGATCAGCAACTTTAGTCTCTATTATTCTTAGATTGGTCCTTAAGATGTTGATGAAAGTCTGCGTTAGTGGGCGGGGCTAGCACTGATTCTTGCTAGACCTCAGGAAGCTCCCTCATAAGCTTTTAGATATATTTCAGATCAAAGCAGCAACTTTAAATTCAGCTGGTGCTATTTAACATGCTTTTACTCTTATTAGAAAGAGTTTGCCTAATATACCTTGACCCAAAATCGCCTTTTTGACCATAAACCTGAATAATTACACCGCCTTAAATACAGCTGATGTCTGTGTTCATAAACCAACATGACACAAAATGCATTATTTCTACTTCAACAGGATTTCTTTGGTAGCCACTGCTGACCTCAGACATCCAGAAATATACTTGAAAGAACAGCAGAGGTTTTGTCTGCTCATTAGAATGAATGTGATACTGATACGCTATTGGGACTAAACTGGTCAAAATGCTGTCATAAAATGCCTCTAAAAAAAAAAAAAAAACAGATGGTAACTGAGGAAAAGAAAAATGTAATCTGAGCAATGAATGTTATTTTTTCAAGCATGCTTCTGTGATGCAACTTCAAATAACATTTTAATTCTAATTTTCGATTGACAAACTGATTGCTTTGATTGCAGTCTTGAACTATATGAACATGTGAAACTATGTTATTTTTAGCACTATTTTATCACTTTCCATCTCACCTGTATAACAGAGGACCACCTAACTCCAGGAAAAAGTCAAATTCTTATAAAATTTAATTCTCCTCCTTGTGTACTCACCACAGCTGCAGCATCAGCCACTCCGAAGGCGGCCTTCTGTCTGCGTCCTGTGATATAGCTGCTGTTCTCCTGTATCTTATCCAACAGCTGCCGCACTGGCTTGGAGTAATTGGCGACTTTGCATTCCTTCAGGAAAGCCTTCAGCTGCAGGGACATGGATGAGAGGAACCAAGAGAGGAAATGATCCTGTCACTGATGAGCCGCATTCAGGCAGAGACTTTTTGATGGTTTCCCCTGAGGGAGGCAGATTTAGCTTTCCTGAATCTTCCATACAGGACATAAACTGCTGTTGTGTTCTGCTACACTGCTTCTATACCCGACTGAATCTGTATGTTACTCTGTGGATTAGTGAGGTGTAGTTGTGCAGATAAATACGGGTAAATAGGTTTCAGATCTCGGTTACCTGCATGATTGTAGGCAGGGCGATCTCAGGGAAGCCAATAGAGAAGGCCTGGGTGTGGAAATATTCCAGCATCAAGTCATACAGCTGGTCAATCAGCCCATCCTGAAATTTAAAAAAAGAAATAAACAATTCATGTGTAAAAATATACCTAAAGTACTGTTCACTTGAAAAAGTACTTATTAACACATTTTAGACCGTTTACCTAGCAACACCACTGAATAAAGCTGGGTACTTATACAACTAAGCACTTAAGTTCTTTCATATGATTTTCATCAAAGCTAAACAGAAGATATTTTGCAGTTCAGAAAACCTTATTTTATGTAATATGATACTCAACAAATGTGGATGTATGCCGGTGTTAGGCATCCACAATGTGAGTATTTTAACCAAAAGTAAGCTGCTTTTTATTCAGTTCAATTCAGTTTATTTAATAATGATAATAATTAAACTTTATTGATATTGGAGAAATGTACCTCTGCATTTAATCCATCCCCTTGGGAAGCAGCGGGCTGCCATTGTGCAGTGCCAGGGGAGCAGTGTGGGGTTAAAGGTCTTGCTCAGGGGTCTGTGGGAGCGGGGCTTGAACTCAGAACCTCCAGCACCCAAGCGCAATGCTCTAACCATTAGGCCACCACTAATTATATAGCACCAATTCACAAAACGTCATCTCAAGGCGCTTTGCAATTCAACCAGATCATACAGTCAAATTGAAGTTTCCTATCTAAGGAAAACCAGTTGATTGCATCGACTCATTGGCAGGAAGGCAATCCCCCACACCAAGCATGTAGCGACAGTGGAGAGGAAAAACTCCCTTTTAACAGGAAGAAACCTCCAGCAGAAGCAGTCTCAATGTGACCACCTTTGATGAAATCTGCAGAGACCAACAGGGTTTTTACATAGTAAACTGCTAATGCTAGTCTGGTAGCCAGCGTTAGCATTTGAGTAATGACATTGGAGTAACTTAAAAAAAAAAATCTGCTTTAATTTTGATTGCATATTTTGAAAAGTCCAAGGAAATGGGTTCTCTTCTTTTTACCCGACCCTAATTTCAGCCTCTGCCTTTCATTGAGCTTTTACCAGACAGTGACAGCAGGTTTCCACTAAAAGTTTTGCTCTTTAATATATCTGCTACTTTTCACTTGAACATAGCTTTCCTCCTCAGTTTAGCTCCTTCTGCTTATGGCTTATATTACTGACAGAACAGGAAATGTTTTAGATAATATCATCGTGTCTCTGGGATGTTCAATTTAAATTTTAACACTGTGGTGCATTCAGGGCATCTGAATGCCATGAATTCAGATGCCCTGGTGCATTCAGGTCTCCTCATACACTAAAGGTATGAAATAAAAAAAAACATTGTAAGAAATGAATATAGCCAACCTTTATTTAAATGTAATTTGAACCAAAGATAATTTTGTTCCCCATGTTTATATATCAGAGTTTTTCTGTTTTTTTTCCTTCCTTTCTTGAAGGAGTCATCACGTGGTACACTACTTAAACTTTCCTTCTGAAATTGTCTACAATTCCTGTTTATAATATTTTGCATAAACAATTCATTTTGTTTCTCCTTTTCATAGCCTTTTTTCCTGCCATGGCTGCATAGTAGAATTTGACTTGGGTGTATGGACGTTTATGTGGGGGCTTTTCTGGTTTCAAAAGCAGGCCCACACAAAGAAACCCAAGCTACTTTCAGAACCCGGATTTCCAGGCAGGTTTTAATTGAAGCCCTAGACCAACCAGACGTATGAAAAAAAAATAAAATTCCTGAGTGTTGAAACCTTTAAAGCACATTATATAAAACCTGCATACATTGTGCAATAGAAATAAATGTGATTGTTGTTTAGCCTCTTTAAGGAAGCACAAGTCTACAATGACACAGCTTTGTAGCCTGCATCCTGTAATGAAATCTAGAGTTTAAGGAAGATAATTTCTATTTGTTGTGAGTTTATGTGGCGGCAGTTAAGGTGACAGCAGTACAAACAGTCCTCATGAGCGGAGAGCGCGGGGATAATCCCAGACAGTCGTGCTGCAATCCTCTTTGCTGCGGCACTCAGCTTGGCGACTCAGGGACAGTTTTAGAGCCCTGATGAGGGGCTGTCAGCACTGCCCTCAATCCCTTTCTCAACACATCCCAGGCTGTTTGAACTGCTCGTCTGATCAGCTGTTTCTTCTCAGAAGAGAGCAGAAATAAACACGGTCTATTCCAACTCGCTCACAGCAACACTCACCTTGTAGGCTTTCTCCATGAGGTTGACCTTGCTCAGCTTCAGGATCACTGCAAAGTTGATCGGTTTCTTACTCATTCGGCCTGGTTTCTTGTTGAAATCAACTTGCTGGAACATCTTTAAAAAAAAAAAGAAAAAAGCATGATCTCAAAAAAGACAAAAAAATAGAGCAAGGCCAGACGAAATACTAATCATGGTTCTGAGATTTAATATTTTTCTAGACATAGTGAGAATTAGCATCTTAAAGGTGCAGCAGGAGATTTTTTCTGAAATAAATGGTCCCCGTTACCACGCAAAATCAACAAGTAACCCCCACCAATCACAAAAGACAGTCCGTTTCTGACACGTCAATCACGGTCGTCTGCTTGTCCCTCCCCGCTGTGCGCTTACCCCGACACAAGAACGAATCCACCCCCAATGCTCGTCCAGGAGGCCATGGCAGGAAGCTAGCCCCTGTTATGCTACATTCAGCGGCAAGAGACCATTTTTTACTCCTTAACTGTGCTAGCTTTAGAAAATAAAAGGCGGAAGTTCTCCTTTAATTAAAATGAATAAAAAAGACAAGGTATGGTGCATCCTGGGTGTCTGGAAAAAGGATGTGTCAGCCTTTTCTGAGAGACAATGCATTCACAAAGTAAAATAAAATAATGACCCTGACAGGCTGCCATAGAAGCAAGAAGTCATTCTGTCAAACTTGTTGCTCATCTTAGGCGGTAGGTCCTAATTGCTTTTCTCTCCTCTATCATTTCAAAGATGTTTACATGATCAGAGGAGGTCCTTATTCTCCTTGTAGCGAACATACCTGCCATCTGTGTGCAGTGCTGTTCCAAACTGTAGCTGCCTTTAGGATTGGCAGCACTGCTGCCTTACAGTATGCCAAATGCACCATATCGTTTTACAAGACACTTTTTGTAAAAGCTAGTTTTTAAATTGTTTTATCAATGCTCAGCAGCCTGAAGTCACTCAGTGTATATTTGCTCATGTCCTACATTACATTTATTGGACAATCTCTTGTAGCTGATTGAGTTATTATGAACGACTATGATAAAACAATTATATGCAACTATGAATCACAAGGCGAAATTAAATTGCTTTAATCCATTTACTTCAATTTCAAAGTATAGTTTTCTTCAAAATAAGGGTTAATCATAATCAGTATTATCACAGCAATAATTCTGCAATTAAATATTTACTGCAGGCCGATTATGGGTCTTTGCTGTGACGCATAAATATGGGAAAGTCTTGCTTTTTTTTTTGTTGGATTCTAACCTTCAACATTAGTAAATGAAGCCTTAGCATATTTTACTCCAAAATGAATTACGGGATTAAGTAAGAGGTCGCTAGAACCATTATTTGCATAGCTGCTCAATGAAAACTGGAAATCAGTGTTTGTTAGGGAAAACCTGATTGGTTAATCTCTAAAATTTTTGTTGGTGTAAACTGTGGAGAAATAGTGAAATTTTCATCAGTTTTTAGCTTGTTCAAGTGTTAAAAACATACCAAACCCCTTTTCTTTGCTCTATGTGGACAGTTGGACAATAAAATGTATTAGTTTGTGGAAGGATATTGAAGATGATGTGTGGGCTATTGGTCTATGAGCTTTAGATTCCACATCTGCCCACAGTGTACAAGTGAAATCTTTTTTTTTTTTTTTTTTGAGAATCAAGCTATTTCTGACTCCGTGTGTGTGGTCATTAATGCTCTCTGCGTGCGCAGCAGTGCAACGCTCCTGGCCGGTGCAGTCTGTACAAACATAGGATGTGGTGGCGGTCTGTGGGGGAGCCAGAGGGAAGTGGGAAGGCATGGGCCAACCCTGGTGCGAATGTACACTTACACACACAGCTACAGAAGCAGGAAGCTCCAAATCATACACCCCCCTCGGAGAGTCGAGAACACACACAGGCACAGGCGTACGGGAGGAAAGGGGGCGCTTCTGCCGTCCTAATTAAAACTGCAGCAGCGCACCTCAGCCTGCCTTTAACAAGAGGAACAGCGAGGGAGAAAAAAAAACAAAAAAAAGAAAACACAGGAAGTGTTGTGCGTCACAAATAAACACAGCTTGCTTTCGGTGGGGGTCTTTGAGAGTGCGTTGGAGTGGAGGAATTAGGCCATAGGCAAAGAGGATGTGGTCTGCAGAGCGCATTAGGACCAGAGTGTAAACCACAACCATGCCTCTGTCACTTCGGTCAAACTGCTGGATGCACACTAACATGCACACGTAGAACCAGCAGTGACCACTCCCCGGTGGGCCGAGCCTCCTGCTGCAGGCAGCACACTGCTTCCATCCAGAAAAACCACAACTAAGACTCGCCGCGTGTGCAAAACACTTTGCAAACTTTCAGACGCCATGAGCACATGCGAGCATGTGATTAACACCTGACCTGGAGAAAAGGCTGTCGGTTGGTGACCCCCGATCAGGTCTGATAACAGAAAGGTGCCTCGAGCACAGCTCTGCTCCTCGACAGGTTTCCTCCCGAGCTCCTTCTGTTGTAGCCGTTGAGACCAAGATGCACTTCACATGTCGCTGGTGTTTTTCCACAGCAAACCACCGACGGAACATTTCATCACATCAAGCTTTTCACAGTTTCCATTTGAGACAAAGACAACCGACCCACGATTGTGTGATCAAGATCATCTCCAACATCTGAGATGTTAGCATTGGGTTTTGATAGTTAAAACCCAAGTTCCCACTGCTGGAAACATACTTTCACTGAACCTCTGAGGTCTGGATGGGGATTCCTGCGTGTGTGTGGGGAGGGGTGGGGGGGGGGGGGGGGCTTACCTCGACAAGGAAAGGCAGAACAGGCACAAAAGTGTTGGTGCTACTGGAAAGCAATGTGAGGGCTCTGCAGCAGTGCATCCTCAGAGGGTAATATTTGGCTGTTGGCACCAGTCTGGAAACAGAAAGAAAGATCATTGACGCCACCTGCTGTTGGCAAAAGGTGTAGCAACACATTGGTTCAACAATATGATGTTTCACTAGGGTGACCAGATTTCCTCTTTTTCCAGGATATGTCCTACTTTTCATACCTAAAAGAACGTCCGGAAGGGAATTTTAAAATCTTCCGGGATTTTGGTTGACTACAGTGCAGCAGAACCGAGCCGTAAGCTCCAGGGCTGGTCTGGGAACTCCGGCAGACAGGGGGAGGGAGCCCGCGGGGGACAGAGCGTCTGAACCTGACCCGGTGAAGGCAGGCGGGTGGAAGCATACCGTCACCAGGTCGGATTCGGTCACTCTGTCCCCGGCTGGCTCTGGACCAGCCCCAGAGCTCCTGGCTCGGTTCGAATGCCCAGTCCAGGTCCTACCCCCCAAAAAAGAAAAGTGTCTTCCTTTTCAGAAACCCAAATCTGATCACAATGTTTCACTGATAACAGCTTTAGAAGTTTGGTGACTTTTCAGAGGGAAACATGAAATTAACAACTTCCATAAGCTTCTCCCTCAAAAAGTTCTCTGTCATCTCCATCTTCACTGGGAGTGGGAGGCCTACTGGTTAGAGCAGTGCGCTTGTGCTCTGAGAAGGTTGCAAATACCCGGTTCAATCCCCACAGTCTGGACTCTGGGTCCCTGAGTGAGACCCTTAATCCCAGACTGCTGCCCAGGCGCCACACAATGGCAGCCCACTGCTCCCCAAGGGGAGGGGTTAAATACAGATAGGAAATTTCTCTGTTTTGAGATCAATGATCTTCAGTTATCATTATTATTATTATTATTAACCTGAAGTACAAATCTAATCATGTGGCACTTGCTGTATTTTTTACTCACTAAAATGTTATTAAGGCATCAAAGAACAACATGAGCAAACACAGCTGAGTATTTGGTAGGCTGAGCATTAAACCAATCTTTATGTTTCCTTTCAAAGTTGATTCTAAACTTTTAACACATCAGTAAATCTCCATCAGAAAACAAGTCCAAAAACAGAAATAAATTGAGAAAGGCTTGAGATTTTTTAGGTTGATGTGGAAACCAAAAAAAAAAAAAAACTGCTAAAACTGCTAAAAGGTGTCAAATATCCCAGCGAGCTGCAACAAGCTTTAGGCTGTAAACGGAAATCACTATAGTAGAAGGTTAGTTCTGGCATTTTACACACTTTTCATTATTACTGTTTTATCATAGGGGCAGCTTTATCCACCACCATGGGATGTAATAAACATACAGAAACATGAAAGAGACAGAAAATCTTTCATCCAAGAGTTCACTCAAATGATGCCTTCTGCTAGGGCCCTCTACAGGAAATGTGCAGAGGAAAACTCCATCTGAAGCTGGCCACACAACAGCAATGCAATAAGAGCCTGCAGTTATCGCAAACACTGACAGCTCAGGCCTCAGAATCGTTTAAAAAGACCAAGTCCCACCTTTATGCTGCATGTCGATTCATATGAAGAACTAAAACAATACGCAATCTGTATTATCCGCATATATGGCTGCATATTAGGGTTGTCACGATACTAAACTTTTCAAATCGATCTAGTTAGTCGTTAGCAGGTATTTGACGTGTTATGAGGTAAGATCATAAAAAAAAAAAAAGATTTAATT